CCGGAGCAACCCCAATGGCCATATTTGGCCCTTTTTCCTTGTCCAATGGAGATGTCAACTGCTGAGTCAACAAAATGAAATTTGGCATACTGCTAAATTTGACACATCCTATTTGATATGCCAAGTATTTTAAATGAAATATTTTATTGAGTAAAAAAGTGTTTAATGTAATTTTTTTCAAACAAAATAGATTTAAAGATAAAAATGTAATAAAATAAATTATTTTGACATATCAATTAAAGTACAATGAAGTGAATATATCAAATATTATACGTCAAATTGTCACATAAGTCTTCAAATTAAATTTGACATTTCAATGTTGACATCTACAATGGAGATGCTATTAATTCTTTTCCTTTATAAGGTTCGCAACAAATGTTTTCTTATTTTTTCTTCTAGAGAAAAATATTTACTTATTTTTTTTATTATTGCCTGTGCACTGCACGAATTGCTTGAGGAATGTGTTTTGCACGTGCGAGTCAAATTAATTGCTTTACTATATTGGCTTATGTCATGCTAATTTAATGACTAGATATCAATATTAAATCTTAAAAATATATATATATATATATATATATATATATATATATATATATATATATATATACTCGTAATATAAATGAAAATAGGTATGCATTGTTGGATTGAGAAATAAATACTGTAAAATTTTCACAAATAATGAAATTTCTAGTTCACCATCCATTTTAATTGAATGAAATTTATAAAACCTAGAAGTTGTTAAATTTCCATGGAAAAAAGTGTCAATAGTTTGTCCGACTATTTCATTTTCATTTGTTTGGGAAAAGAAACCTAGGGATTTTAGAAGGAAGAAGAGTATTTACCAAGTAAGTCCCAAGGTTCACATTTACATACATTAACCTCACGGATAACGCTGACTTCATTCTCAAAACCGTTGATCTTCAATCGCAGGTAGTCATCAATGAGGTCTTTGTCCATAGGACAAAATCGGTAACCCACCGACAAAGCGTTCATGCAGCCTCTTAAAATGAGCATGAGAAAAGTAGCGATAGGTTCATGACACAAGAATGAGTGGCGCAAAAGAACATCTCACAAAAATTAGATTATGAGGAAAATGTCAACTTTTTTGTCCAGTTGAAAAATAGAATTTCATACCTTAATAGCTCCTCAAAGGCAACACATGCACAACTATCTATCAATCACTAAGAGCTCAAAGAGAGAGAGATAGAGATGTGTAAACACACCAGCTCTAATTATAGTGTATAAATGCACATAAGGTCAATACTATGTCAAAAACCCTAGGAATTGTAGACGGGGAGATATTGGGAAAATTCAATGTGCTGGAAACATTAGAGAAAGAGTGTGTGCACGTGTGTGAGCGAGAGATAGAGATAGATAGAGTTGACAGAGGATAAAAGTCAACAGAGTCGCGATCTTTGGTGACGACTAAAGTGCTGGTGGAGGTGGCGATGGCCCATCGTTTCCATCCTTCATCGAAGCGAAGAAGGCTACCCAATTAAAGGGTATTTTTGTCATTAAATAATTTTTTTAAAATTAGTTTGAACTTAATGAGTGATTTGTTTTGAGCGCTTGGACTTAATGACTTAATTCATTTCAACGCTTAGACTTCATGCCTTAAAAAGTTTATGCCTGGACTTATTAACAAAAAAGTTCCTAGAATTATATTGTTCAACAATTTTCACAAATATTAACTAGTGGTTCATCATTTCACTTTGGTAAAACAAAGTGAAGTCCTTGTGTGGTTAAATTTGCTTTTTAAAGATTGTTTAAAGAAACTTGTATTAATTTAGACTATATCTACTAGAATGGATACAACTTGAATGATCAATCGTGGCACATTCTCACATAAATCTTATAAATTTCGTTTTCAAATGGTTAGACAAGGTTTGTGATAACTAATCTAACATTGATCCCTTTACTACTAGTGTTTACTTCATTACCCAACTCTTGCACGTTAGTTGCATGTCACTAAGGGAACTCATTAGGTAACAATGGTCCATATCACCCACTCTCTTCTATTGGTATTAGGTATAGCCCCCCTCCCCTCTTGGGCGCCAAGTTAAGGGCTATAACTTGATTAATTGGCGACAACACAAAAGATTTCGGTGGGTGATTAGGAGGATAACAACCCCCAAAGAGACAGAATGGTAAATTTCTAAGATTGTCATCCTTGCCCTTCTTTAACTTTAATTCCAAAAACTTACATTATTGTTAACCCTAATTAGTAAAACGACAAGCATTTCCCAAGATAGTTACCCTAAAAATTCAAAAAAATTTCACAACATGATTTATTGGCGATGACACAATTGTCAATTGATGCTTAGATGAACAAAGGATTTTTATGGAGAGAATTAATGGATTGATAAAATTACTATTCTTGCCCTTCGTCAACTTCATTTCAAACATAACCATCATCATTGTCTGCACTAATAATCAGGAATTCACTACTTGATTGATTGGTTACAATGTATAGCTTAATACGAGTGGTGAGGTGTATATACAGAGTGCACAGATGAATTTCTATAATGAGTTGAGATAGAGATACGCGGAACGATCTTGATTAACGTTAAATCTAAAACAAAGGATTAGGAAAAGGATGTCTGGTGTCTACCCAGCTAATTCCTCCGAAGCTCAAGTCAATCGGCATAAAAGTCATGAACAGAGTGTATTTTATGAATTGGAATAGCGTACCTTAGACCAGTTTTTTGAGGGATATTTATACTTGAGTTTGCAACGATGGTAGCATCTTTAAGTCCCATCTCAGAATTTAATGGTTTGCACTCATATCCAAGCATAATGAATGTCATCCCATCAAATCTTCTAAAGTACTCTCGAGGTTCGCTGAGTACATCCAATCGGTGCTATGACACTTAATGTCTTATAATGATGATTATCTTTACATTTCTCGAGGACGCAGATGCTCATTAATGACCCTGTCACAGTCACTCAAGACCCCATTAACGAGCTGTCATATCCCTTTTAATGCTAGGCCTTGAGGGGCACACTCGGCCTCCAAGTTATAACTCCTCGACGCTTTTCTCAGACGCCATTTGCGCTCCTGAACGACTGCATTTGTCCATGTGTCCATTGAATGCTATCAAGCCGCCTAAAGTCCCGTCATGGAGACTTTTGTAAGAAATGAACTAATGGATTTTCGATGAAAATTCAAGGGCAATCAACGTCATTTTTCTGTGGTAATTAAATAAAGTAAGGTGGTTGTGATGTTAAATTTTCTTTTTAGTAAATTTCTTTTAAAAAAACTTTTGTTGTTTTTGACTATATGGCATGCTGGAATGAAAACAACTTGAATGATGAATCATGCTACCTTTTCACATAAATCTTATAACTCTCATTTTTTAGATGTTAAAACAAGTTTTGCGATAATCAATCTAAGCTAAAGTTGACGGATCACCGAAGAGGAGCTCCACTCTTCCATTTCATTCATGGCTTATGCCAACCACCTGATGGCGGATTACATGGGGAAAATTAGTATAATATGAATAGTATATATCACTTTATTGTGACTCTGATTTTTACTTTTGATGTGCTTTGAGGTTTTATTTTTAATGTGGTTCTAATTTGATGTGGTTTGAGAGTTTGAGTCATATAATATGCTTTCAGATTTCGTACATGCTGTGGTTTTTTTTCCTAGCTAGCAAAATTTTATATTGGTGATTTGGGTATAATTTTTTGATAGTTTTTGCTTTATCAATTTTGAAGTTTGGTATTTTATCAATATCATAATTTTTTAGTTTAGACACATTTTATATTTTTTGGCTAAATTATTATATTTTATAATTATTATATATATTTTTTTATTTTTTTAATATATGACTTGTCCGACCAATAAATCATTGACCTAATTCTCCTACCGATTTGATGACCAACCCGGTTCTAATAACATTGCCACCAAATGACTAACAAACTACACACTATTAATCTTATATAACCCCACAATGCAAACACATTTGTCCAAGAAAAAAGTAACAAAATAACAACATACACAAATTTGCATGCAGACAAAAACTAGTCCTCACGAACCCCATAATGTAAATACAATAAAAAAAATAGTAATAAAATAACAAAAACACAAACCCCTATATAAAAATTGGTTTGAACCATATACCCACAAACATACCAGAATGACAAAATGAACAATAATTTACAAACACACAAATCCACCAAAATGAATCCCATATTCCAAACACAATAGAAAAACAAACACAAAAAATACAATTACCATAACATAGTCCATTTCAATAAGTCTATAAATCGTAAGTCCCCTCCCTCAACAACCACAATATTTTTAGGTCCACGAAAGCTAAGCTGGTGCAAAATCAACCAATTTTTCATTATAAATTATTCATAAAAAATATACACAATCTCTTTATTTAACTATGAAGCCCTAAGCAAGAATCATACTACCTCTTCATCTTTCTCTCTCAAAAATGGCTATAGATGATTGGTTTCTTGAACCAAAGCATTGTCACGTGCAAATCACACCTTATTCATTTACATATTTACCCTTCTAAGTTATCACATTTTTTACACATGAGCAAAAACAAACAACAAACTAAATGACAATTGAGTGTTGGACTTAATTGCTGCCATTTTAATTCTTTTGAAGTGCAATGTGAAAATTTATCTTACAAAGTGTAAATTAAGAATTTAGCAATCTTTCAAGTGGAAAGTGAAATTTGCCCAAAACATTTTAGTTTTTCTAAAATTTCTAGTTAAGTAAAGAAAACGAGCCAGAAGGCACTGACAACAACCTAAATTACTTAAAACTCAAATCCTTCCCCTTCTAATGCTGTTCATAATCAAATATAACCAAATAAACAACACGAACATTGGGTTTTTCTCCCTTTTATGCTGTCTTCTTTGTTCCACTTTTCCTCCTTTTTTTCCCTCCTCATTCATCTTAATTCACCATTTCAATTGATGCATTGAATAAGCCCAACTGATGATATATTAAAAGCCAAATGCTCATCAAATCTTAAGGCAACAACAAAAGCAAGAGGAGACCAAATTAGGGAATTACTATTCCAAAAACCCCATTTCACAAGCAAATCTTACAAAAACTGGTAATGGAACAGTTGAGAGAGAAAGAGACGAACCCCTACCAAGATGAATCATATAAACCCCAGCAAACCCAAAACCACATTACATAATTTCTTGACAGCAAGACTTTTGACAGACAAAAAACCTAACCACCAAACCCGTAAAGTGTCCTTCCCTGCCTCTTGAGAGCATAAACCACATCCATGGCAGTCACAGTCTTCCTCCTAGCGTGCTCAGTGTAGGTCACAGCGTCACGAATCACATTCTCCAGGAAAATCTTGAGCACCCCACGAGTCTCCTCGTAGATCAGACCACTGATACGCTTCACTCCTCCTCTGCGAGCCAAACGGCGTATGGCTGGCTTGGTGATGCCTTGGATGTTGTCGCGTAGGACCTTACGGTGTCGCTTCGCTCCGCCCTTTCCCAATCCCTTGCCTCCCTTCCCACGTCCCGACATTTTCGATCGATCCGAAAACAAATCTTCGATTCCTGTAAGAAATTACAGCAGCAATTAGCATACTTAATCATAATAACCATGTACACAGTGAAGAACCCGACACACACAAACAGAGAGAGAGAGAGAGAGAGAGAAAGAGAGAGAGAGAGGGAACCAGAAATTCGTAGTTCAGATCTCTAACTCGATCGGAGAATAGAGTGAAAGTGTTATCTTCGAGTGGGCATTTGTTTGGCGGGGTGTTTGTATTTGTAGGGTAACGAGGCTGTGGAGAACTTTGGGAATCGATCCGCGACGTGGTTGAGGGAGCTGTTTTCTGCCGTTGATGAATTCTTACAAACGGTCATGATGAGAGTTATGTAAGTCCGGCTGATCGATGACATGGCATATAAGTAGTTTTGATTTTTGTGATGGAATTGCGCGGGATAAATACCGCCATGAGGCATGTATTGGGTTGGGAAGTCTGGAAATTGGAATTAGTGGGCCTGGGCTCGTTATTCAGGTTGTAATTGGACCCAAAGCCTGATAATCGAGTAAGCATTACGATTTTATATGTCAATGTATAATGTTTCTGTAAATAACCAATCATTATCATTAATAAGAAAAAGTGATTCATTTTCTCTTTTTTTTCACAGTTGGTGCATATTTGCTTTTCTGTTTGGTGATGTTTACATCCTCTTACACATCATTGTGTACACATACTATGAGTGTGTTATAAAGGTCACTAATGTATAGGACAATAAAAATATTTATACAAAATTAATCAAGTATGAAATGAAGTATGTGGTGGGATATACTCAATACAATCAATCACAGTGATTATGTGGTTTGGTTTGAGTGACCTACTTCACATAAAATAGCTACAGTGGCCAAAGAGTTTTATTACTCAATATATGTAAAGTGCTAAGAGATGAGTGATGTCCTCCATGTGTGTATATAATTTATAAGCAAGTAATGTTTTATAATGGCTCTGAGGTTGTCCTAATTGAGACATCATTCTCGTAATGAGGAGTGGAGCGGTTCCTTGAGGCCGACATCATTCTCATAACAGGCGAGGTGATTCGGTGTGAAATGGCAATGTGCACCTAGATGATTACATTCCACTGATTACTTTTCCTAAAATGGAGATCCCATGCACGCTGGTAATAGATTCGGTCTTTTAGGATGGTGAGTTTGGCCCAACAAAAAATTATGACCGAGCCTTTATTGATTTATATGTATGATCTGGACTTGATCTGGCCTGACTGGCCCATCAAAACCAATTCTATATCACTATCTGAATTGGTTTTTTGATAAGTCACTGTTACATTTCACTGTGTGTACAATTAATTACGTATCCTGGTTAACAAAATCAACCATGTATTGTAATAACAACACAAATTTGTAACCCTTTTTTTTTTATTTTTTTGGGTCATCACTGTGAAGACCCTGCCCCATTACCGGGACCCTGTCTTCCAAGGGTTAACCTCCCATTACCGGGATATCACCACCCTCCACCAAAGGATTTCGGCTAACCTGTGGGTCAAACCCCCACAGTAGCCTTTACCTCTGTCCCACATCGGGGAAAGAGTCGTCTCCCCACCCCCATATAAGCCGAAGCACCATATGAGAGCAGTACCCAAGTATGGGACAGAGGTAAAGGCTACTGTGGGGGTTTGACCCACAGGTTAGCCGAAATCCTTTGGTGGAGGGTGGTGATATCCCGGTAATGGGAGGTTAACCCTTGGAAGACAGGGTCCCGGTAATGGGGCAGGGTCTTCACAATCACAAATTTGTACTTAAATGACCAAGATATCATACAACAAAATGAATTATCGTTGGATATAGGTTCAATGCAGCTGTCCAAACAATGTTATTATCTCTAGAATGCGATCTTGATGATGAATTTTGGAGATTTTATGAATAAATACTCTTTGAAATCCGTTTGATTTTTTTTAAATCTCACTAACCACATTTTTTTTTCAATAGCACATGCAAAAAATCACAACACAAATTTTTTACAATTACTCAACATTAATAGCAGATCACAAGTCACTAACCACGTGCATACACATAGGCCGTGGCTATAATGTATTTTTTTTTTTCTTTTAAGAGGTGGGGGCTAAGAAGAGCAGTCAAACACCATTCTTATAGGTTTTTGTGGGATTATGAATTCTCTGAATACACTCATGATATCTTTTGGAAACGAACCTAATTAACTAACATATCGGTCAACTATCGAGTCTCAATGAGAATTTTAAAATTCAAACTTTCAATAAATATAAAAAGTTCAACCGATATTCACTGTACCACCCCACTTGGTGGTTGGCCATAATATATTTGTCATCAAAGGACTGCCCTATTTTTGGCTAGAAAAAAATTATAGGGTTACTAACGACATTATAACAAACTTCCAGTCACACATGAAATTTCGGAAAATACAACCCTACCATGCGCCTTCATTGCCCAAGTTGAAAACGAACTTCAAGCAAACACCTCCCTCCATGCGCTCTCTCGCTCTCTCTTTCGCTAACACACACATAGGCACCCACTCACCATGGGCTTCTTCGACCTAAACATCCCCTACTACGAATCCGACAGACACATAGCATTCACCGACAAGTCCGCCCTCAAAACCACGCGCTTGAAGCTCACAATCAAAGCCATGGAGCTCGGGTACGTAGGAATCGCTTATAACCGTACGATCAAGGGCGTCATGGCCGAAACCGACCGTTGCTCCATCTCTCCTTTTCCTCTCTCCTCTATCCTCAAGCTCGCGCCTTCCATCTCTTCCTCTGTGAAGTTTCACCGTGAGTTGTTAGATGTTCCAGTTTCGACGCCGTTTCGGCAGTACACGCGACTGACGGTGGTTGTGGAGAATTCGGCTCAGGCCTCGGCACTAAATTCGGGGAATCCGGTACTCAAGAGTTATGATATCGTCGCGGTGAGGCCCGTAAATCAGATTTCGTTTGAACAAGCTTGTCAGGCTTCGGAGGTTTGATTTTTTTGGATTTCTATTAGAACTAATTCTTTTGAGTAGCTATTTGATTGATTTATGACATTTTTTTTTGAATTGAATGTGTAGGTGGATTTGATTGCGATTGATTTTTCGGAGAAGTTGCCGTTTAGATTGAAGCAGCCCATGGTAAAAGCTGCAGTTGAGGTTTGTTACTTCAGTTCATTGCCCCAGTGTATTAATAATTTCTGAAGCAGTCGGATGTAAATTTAGGTTATTGAACCAAATTTGTGGGAAATTCGATAAACAGTGCCACAGTTTTCTTATCTAATTAAACGAAATGTGTGGAATGCAGATAATTTTTGTGAAAGTTTCCCAAATAATTGGAAGCATTGAAGTTCAAATTTAATTTTTGGCAATATGCAAATATTGGAATTTGGCTATTCTTATGATTTGGCTATTTCTGATTATCATATTGTGTATGCGGGGGCAGGCTTTGTTCAAGTTTGATATGTTCAAAGGATTGTAGAATTTGGCAGAGTGTTCATTTATAGCCATTTCATATGTGCAATATCCTGTTCAAAAAAAAATGTGCAATAGAAATTTTTGGAACAATGATTATTTATTGTGGTTGTTATGCAGCGTGGTCTGTTTTTTGAAATTACATACTCCCGGCTTATTGTGGATGCACAAGTTAGGAGGCAGATGATATCTAATGCCATGGTAAGGATTGAACTTTATATCCTATGGCCATTTAGATTGGAGATGTAACTACATGAGTTTTTGGAATTTTGAATAACGTTATAATTCGAATTTAGACACCACCCGCTATCACTGGGTTTTGTAATGCTCATTGATGGGTCTAATTTGCAGAGGAATCTATGTGACCAGTTATACCTTAGGAGTTTGACTTGAGCCTACATTTTGCTGTTATAAGGAGCAATTTGGATTTGAAGATGCATCATATGTGAACACAAAACACTGGAAGGATGTCTGTGAACAAAACAGTGCAGTGACAAAATCGATATATTGCTGCAATATTTGAAGTAAGCTTAGTGTCATCACTGTGCTTGGCTCTCTATCAACTAAAATTTTTGAAAATACTAAAGGAAATCAAGCCACTGAAATGCATGTAAGATGCTATAAAAGATCTGTTCTTTTGAAATGCCACAAAACATTTTCGGTTGGAATAGATTACAAAATAACGATTTGTGTGCTTTATGGTGCACAAATGTTCAGCTACTAGGAACTGTTGGGCTCAATTTCAAAGTTTAACCAAAATAAGGGTATTGGATGGGTAGGTTATTGACTTATTGTGAATGGGAATGAGCTGATTTAAATTGACTTTTGTCTAGCTCTAACTTGTAATTCTGAAGAGGGTGTTCCATCTGTAATTGCAACTTTGGGAGTAGTGTTCCTTGTTAAACCTATAGAAAATCATGATGTCTTTGTTTGAAGTTCTTTGCTGGTTTGGAGTTGCTATCAGAATGGATGGGAAGGTTGAAAAGATAGACTTGAAAAGTTTAAAATTAATTTTTTGAAGTCTGCAATTTTGAGTAGATCCACTTTGCAAACCTCAATTTTCTGTGGCGCAATTAGAGTTAAATTGATAATATTGCTTCCTACGGAAGCTGATGTACTCATAGTTTTAGATGCCCATTAAAGAGTCGCGAGTCTCAACATATTGTTAAAGTTAGTAATATCTTTTTTTGCCTGGGCAACATGTTATAACTCATTATGATTGCGTGTGTTTTTCCAGGTTCTTTTTCTTGATATGTTTTGGGGTGTATATGACAGTGTAGATATCACTGACAGTATATATCTTGAGCATATGACAAGTCTTGTATTACTACTGGACTTTAATAAATTATAACATATGATTGTAATGTTCAATAGTTTAGCAATTGAACATTTCACAAGTCTGGTTTACTGGTGTAATCTGAATTGTTTGACTGAACTGATGGTATATATAATGCTGAACTGTAATTGAGGTGCTACACAGAAACTGGTCGCATAATTTAATTTGTAAACATGGAAGAGACTATGTCACTATGGTAATGGTCTACTAGAAGCATGTAAAGAACAGCTCTGTATTGCCTTTTTTTTTTTAATTATAATGTTTTGGTTTTCTGGATTTACTCAAATATAAATCCTTCTCCTTTGCACCACAATACTCTATGTTATTAAAGTACAGAATAATCATTTGAGTGTGCCGCTGCAATAACTACTGGATTTGGATGTTGAGAGTTGAGAATTTGATGGCACTTTCCTTGGAGCGAATTTCACAACATAACTCCTTTTTGATTTTTACCGTCCATGTTGATAGTGGTCCTCAGGTTTCATTTTTTCCTCATAAAAATGCATGGGAGATTCTTCTGTGCTACAATCTGCTTGATAACTGAATCAAGCATGCTAGGTTTTCCAAGACATGTTGATAAGGCTGTAGCAATTTGATAAAATGAGTGGAGGCAAGTATTTCCTCATTTTTTATGAGAGTCATTACATTGCATATCAACCGTCTGACTAGCTGCCTAAACTTCCAGCTACTAGTGGATTGGACTCGAGGAAAGAATTTGATTGTCTCAAGTGCTGCCCCTTCTGTAACTGAGCTTAGAGGGCCATATGATGTTGCAAACTTGTCATCTCTGCTTGGGCTCTCTATGGAACGTGCTAAAACTGCTATTTCCAAAAACTGTAGGTATGCAAACTTGCAGAAACCTTAGTATTCTACAAATTTGTGCTGTTTCTTAATGTATGTGACACATTTTTGTTCCCATGACTTGCAGATCACTTATTACCAGTGCTTTGAGGAAAAAGCATTACTACAAGGAGGCCATCAGGGTGGAACCTCTATCATCTGGTGGAGAGATTGATACCAAGGAACGTGTGTTTGATGACTGGCTGAAATGGGATCCTATCTCTAGTGGTGATGGTGATTTGCTATTAGATGACATGGAAAAGTTTTTCTGTGGTTCCAATAAAGTATCTAAAACTGTGAAAGCCATTGATTTTACTTCAGTTGTGGATAATTTGCCATCACATGGTTTGCAAATTAAGAATTTGATATCTGCAACGAAGGCGGCGTCAGTGCCACCAGATATTTGTAAAAACTTGTTTGCTGTCACAAATGTGAAACCGGTAGCAATTCGTGGTGTATCTGAACAGCCAGAAAGACTTAATCTCCCAAGTGAAGAGGATCAGAATTCATTGAATGATATTTCAATGAAACATCAAATCTCTGGCTCTGTCTCTTTTTCACCAACTGGTAATCTGAATGGTTTCACTGATAATGAGATTATTGGAATCCAGACTGCCACCATTGAGGATGAACCAAAGATTTCAAATGGGTTGGATGTATACTTTCCATCTACTGAAGTGGGAATGCATGATTTCCAATCACAAAGTTTCATAACTAAGTGTGAAGCACAAGTTATGTGCACAGATACTGCAACAGTTCACACTTTGCCGAAAGATATTGAATTTGCTCCTGTATGTGATGATTTGGCTACTGCAGGAATTTCCATTCTATCCATGGATGTTAACTCCTTAGCTCTTCCGTGTGATGAGACTAAGAGGTCTGATAGCTTGGATGTAGACTTAGGTGTACAAGATGTTGTAATGGATGAAAGATTAGTTAAGAAAGATTCTAAAAGCAAAGAAGAGATTATTTTGGCCTCATGTGATGTGTCTTCGCATGAAGATTCAGTTGCCATGGTTGATGGATTGCCAATAGTGGGATCTTGTGATGACCTGAAAAATAAGAATGATCATTCAGTTACAAATGGCGAGCCAGTGGAGGACGTAGCAATTGAAGAGCAAACTGAAATAGATCATATTGGAAGGAATTCTTGTATATTGGATGAATCTCTATCGGGTATGATCTAGTTTAAGTACGCACATTAAAGGAGAAACAGATATCAAAATTATACTTTTATTCCTATTTGACTTAATGTTCTTAGTATATAACCTCTTCACTGTCTTCATACTTCAAAGTTCCATAAAGGCAAATGGTTCCAGGGAACTGTTTTTCTCATGCCATTAAGGTCATTAGTTTTCATGCTTAGATTTGGCGAGCAATTGTATCCTGGATTGCATCTTTGGTCACTTTTCTTTAGGCTTCTTTTAGTGCTTGCTTATCTGTTTTCGTTTTACTTCATGTGTTCAAGCTTTCCTTTTTCTTTTGTCTTTGACTTGAAATTGGCAGATTCTGTCCAAAAGCAGTGGTATTTAATTTCAAGTGTAATTGTGTTGAAACTTTTCTTCTTTCCTTTTTGGCTTGAGATTGGTAGATTCCGATCAAAAGCAGATCACGGTTCTGTTAGTGCTTGCTGCTCAGATCATGTTTTCCTTCATGTATTCAATCTTTCCTTTTATTTCTTTTTTGGCTTCAGATCAGTAGATTCTGATCAGAAGCAGAGGTATTCAATTTCAAGAGTCAAATTTCTGCTATTTTTATTCTGATTGACTATCACTTTTTGTCTCCTTTTCTGAATCTTTCTACTGGTATTTAGAAGCTTACTGCTCTGTGGGAATTTAGCTGTTAATCACATACTTTAATACTTTTTCCTCCTATTTATTTGTTCGTTGTTTAACTAAATGCAGGGAAATTCAGAGTAAAACAAAAGAGTTGTCATCGAGCTTTTTTATTTCCTTTCAAGCATTTGTTGAATCCTGTATCTTTCAAGAAGAAAGCTAGGAAGGTTAAAAGGAAACACAACCATTTAAGGTATCCCTCTTAAGTTATTCTTATTGATCATCATATGTATTATAGCTGAGGATGCTGCCATTCTTTCTAGTTTGTATACCATTTAGGTTGATGAGTTATAGTTCTACATAGACTCCTGTTTGGGTTATAAAATTTACTTTCAACATCAATTTTTGTTGTAGATGAAAATACTTATTTCTTGAGCTTTTGTTAAAAAAAATTGCCGTTTATTATTGGAAAGGTCTTGCATTATGGCTTTAGATTATTAGCTGAAGGTAGAATATTCAGTGTTGTATAAATATTTGCAAGTTAAATAACTGAGTGCTGCCTGGATATGCTGATCCGATACTTTTTGGTAACTATTTTCAGTCAGAGATGCGTGTTAGTTTCAAACAATAAATCCTAGCAGACCTAATCATAGAAAATCTAGTCATAACTTTTATCATGGCTGATTCAATGATGGCCTTCTATGGGATATGGTTCATTCTTGGCATATATTTATAGTCATGCATATTTTTTTTTCTAACTCTTGGGTTTCTAGAAATTCCCTCTAATACATTTTCTCTACATTTCCTTATTAGCGGATCACCAGGAATTTAAGTGGGACCCATTGTATATAAGTGGGTCCCTCACTCATTAAATAGTGGATGATCTTCCAAGTAGAGAAATGGAAGAAAAATGTATTGGAGGGGATTTGGATCCTACCCTATTCTTTCTTTGCAACGGAGGCAATTTGGGGTTCATTATGGTGGACAAGGTTGAAACATTTTATGTCTATGTTATGCTCTGGTTTAATTGCTGAGTAAATTGGTATGCTTAGCATGAGCAGAAAAGAAACAAGAGGTAAGAAAAAGGAATGAGAAGAAAAGATGTAACATGCAAAATCTTTTGATCTCCAAGTCTCCTGGTTTAATGTCATTCAGAAACCAAATTAGGCTCTAGTTTTGCTGTTAAAATGGTTTGATGGGGGGGAAAATCATTGAATATTTGTAATTTTACAACAATCTTGGAGTTTTAAACTATCAGTGCTATTCCTTCAGTTCCTTAGGGGCCAAAGAAGGGACATGGGAGCTCTACCGGAACCTTTAGAACCATCTCAGTGGCTTACTCTTTAAAGAGGTCTCTATGCAATATGCCTATAGCCTTAGCTTTACTAGTTGATAGTATGGTTGGTCCTACACCTTGATTAGGTGAGACTAATGCCTTTCATGTGCTCCCGGGTTCGTCCTTATTATATTTCCAACTGATGTATCTTTGGTGAAAGTATTAGTATTATTGATAGTATTTTATTGGAGACAAAGATACAGCTAATAACACTTTCTGCACTATCCTCATGATGTGTTTCCAAATTAGAAATGGTTGTGCCTAGGATTCGGCTTTATAGTCATGATGCTTATTATTGGTCTTGGTTGAGTTGAATGCATCTTGATCTATTGTGATATTCGTCATTTCTTAGACTTCATTATAGATAAGAGTCTTATATATCGGCTACGGCATTTTTTAACATAAGAAAGATTCAGAAAGCAAAAATTCTTTATTTTGTGACCATCTTCTTCCCATGAGCCATCCACATGGCTCTGCACACACCACACCGTCGCACCACCCCACATCCACCATCAACCCCAAATATCGTAACCCACCGCTATCACCAATCCCCACACATTACAGACCCTTACCACTATCACCACCACCACAACCTATAATCAAGAACACACTACCACCCAAATCAACCATCACTGCAGCACCCTAAAGAAATCACAACACCCAAGCTACTGTCTCACCCACCCTTATAACTATGATCGCACCATTGTAATGCACACAGAGAGAAAAGGTGAAGGTATACATATGTAGAAGGCCCACCACCACTGTAGTGCCACAACCATATACTCACGGAAATTATACCTTTGGCACACCAGTGGCTCCTAAACCATGGCCACGAGTGCACCACCATACACCCCAAAACTACAAAATCCTACCCTAAAATTAGGACCACCACTAAAAATACCACCCAAAAGACCCTAATTCTTCAGACAACATTTCAAACTTTGCATGGGTGCTTCTGGTTCATGGGTGCTTTTGGTTCGTGGGTCTGGGTTCTATTGAGGTGGGTTCCAAAGGGGGGTTTGGGAAGGGATTAGTGGCGGGGCCGCGATGTTCTACATGGGTATGGGGTTCCGATGATAGTGGATTTTTGGGGCTCCAACGGAGGTGTGGGTTGGTGGGTGATCTGGTCGAATGTGGGGGTGGCGTGTGGTTTGGTTTGATTGTGTTTCACCGATTGCGGGAGAGAGAGTTAGACTAGAATGATAATAGGTGAGATTTGGTACTATATTATCCAAGGATAATATTGGTATTTTTGAAAATTTAATTGCTTACATCATTATATTCTTGACTTTTTCCTAACGGCCTACTAACGGTGGGGGATTCTGTTATAGAGAACCAAAGTAGAGGGGAGGACAGTGTTATTATCCATACTGAGGGGGTCTTGTTGTTTGGACAAACCTCAAGGGAGGTGGATGTAATTACCTTAAGTTTTTAGATGGAATGTCTCATGTGCTTATCACATGAACAATAGATTAAGGGTATTTTAGATTGTTCACTTGAAACCTATCGAACAAAGAATCTTATTCCTTATATCCATCACCTATCTTATTCCTTATATCCATCACCTATCGAACAAAGAATCTTATTCCTTATATCCATTAATTGAAATCCTATACCTAAACTTGTTTCATTGACACGAAAATTACCCTTATTCTATTGTCAATTTTCAAGGGTTTAATTGATACGAAAATTAGTCAAAGGATTTAATTGCTAAAATTTTAGAGTTTGAGGGATCAATGGACACAAATTAATTCAAGAATTTAATTGATACAGTATCATAGTTTAAAGGTTATTTGTGTAGTTTACTCAAAAAAAAAAAAAAGAAGTTGAGTAATACCAAAAGGATCAAGTCTCAGCCTATATAATATCCTTCTTGTGCATTTTACTTTTGAGATACCAAAAAAAAAAATACTATTTGACCCTAAAAAACCTAGTTCAATTTGTTCGTTTAACAATGTGTGAAATGATATAGTTTCAATGGAAAAAGTCAGAAGTTTTAGTTAGCAGGACACTATTAAATCAGTAAATTAGGCTGTGTTTCTAAATTTTATACCATTCTTTAATAAAAAAAAAAACTTGGTGGCTGGCTCACGGGCAGACAAGAATCAACATGGCCGTCCTCCCCACTTCTAGGGCGGTCTAGATGACTGTAGCCTTTAGGTTAGAAAGTCGGATTCAGATTCCAATTTCCATATATATATACATGCACTCAATCATTTCACATTTTTTTATAAGTTCAACTCATAATTCAGTAACATGAGCGACCGAATGATTAGTGTAAAGAGAGGGAGAGAGAGTGATCATTTGTAAGCTTTGATTTTAGTATAAATTTTTGTATGGCTTGTAAAGCCAAGCATGCACTTTAGAAAGACCCTTGAAAAGTATAGGAAAGAGGAGCTTTGTGCTTCTTGCTAATAATCCTTCTGTGGTTGATGCCCTTGCACCTTCATGGACTTTACCAAACAACCAATTCCTTCAATTAATTATCACTCTACCGTTGGTTTGAAACTTATTTACTGTTGTATATACTATTTCTTGGGTCTATATTTCTCATGCATCTTATACTTCATCAATGAATTCTTTTGCTAGAATCATGGTTATATGACAAAATTTTGTTGGCAATCTGAATAGAAAATCGATCTCAATTGAAAGGGTCATTTGTGACGATTCTGATAACCCGAGTTTAAATCATCTGTCTAATAGTCATTATAGACGGAAGTCTTTTGTTTTTATACTTAGAAAAAGAAAAGAAAATCTAGATTTGTGTGGGTAGATAGGTTTTTATTGGCGAGATTATGAGATTTCTGACCGCGTATAATATTTTTCTTGGAAAAAAATGTTAGTATAGCAGTTAATTATTAAACCCTAATTTCAAGACTTGAACTTTTAGTCTTATGATGAAAAATTTGGCCAATACTCCATTAGACCCACACCATTTGATGGTTGTGTGTTACACAGTTGACCATGCAAAGAATGAAATAATTCTGAACCGTGTCATTGCAACAAAAGCATTGACAGAAGATGGGTTGCATCGTCTCATTCCTATGTGAAAAGATGGCATATACCCTGCTTCCACTATGTAGGCAGACTAGGCCTGTGCCCGTCTAATCCCTAGGCTTTGATTTCCTCTCTGTCACTTCTCACAACCACTGCCACCACAACTTTTCTAGGGAACGGCTTCTATTCAATGACTCCACTAAAATAGGCATTAGACATTAGTTAGCAAACGCCATGGACGAAGCTCAAGCCAAATTTGCAGGTTAATGACCACGCATATTGTTATTATCACTGTTATTGCGTGGTGTCATGTTGAATTTGCATTGTATTTTGTTTTTTGACAATCCATTTGTGATCTACTCGTTTGTGACCTAGAACGTCATAAGATTAAATTTAAATTCATTAATTTTGTATAAATTTACTTTATTATTTAATTTTCAACTGCTTACACATTCGCACCACATATTATCCTCTCTCTTTTTTAATGTTCAGAAATTTTCGAGTCAGTTTACGTACACTTCAGTTAATCTTTTTTCAGTTTACGCACACTTCAATTAATCTTTTTCCAGTCTGGTTAAAGATAGGTCATCCATGTCAGGACTAAATTTTTAAAAGGAATAATTCTTTTATGATTTGAACTCATTTCTGTTGTCACTTAAACTATTTCATAGAGTGACAACACATATTGTCCGGGGTTGGGACTAGTGTTTATATGGACCCCAATGTCCAAGTGGGATTTGATATTTTATGTTTAGAAGATGAGAAGCATAAAGTCCTGAAGCTCCAAAGTTGTTGCTATATATGATAAAAATAATAATGCAACCAACTATATGTACAATTTTTGAGCCAGAAAACTCTTGAAATAACACCATAATATATAAAATAAGAAACATTACAACTAATACTGCCACAACAGAGCTCCAAAAACATTAAAAAAAAACTTTGGAACTCTTTTGACATATTAAGGAATTAGATTTGCTGAGAAAGCATCGAGAAAATTGATCCAATTATCATCGTCCTCTTCGTTTTCCTCTCCACCTACATGACTCCATTGATCATTTTCAGGCGTCTTTTCAATCTCACCGTTCCTCGCAAACCTCCCTCTGATACGGGGTCTGCTGTCCGCCAATGTCTTCCTACATGCATACTGATTTAAGACAAAATCATTGAAACCAAATCAGTAACATTGAAGGTTATACATATATGATTCAATTATGATAGCGAAAAAGTGAAATCGGTTGATAGAACGTGTAAATTAATAGCAATAATTAGACTGTTCTGGACAGTTTGTATTGGAACAGAAATCTAGCTAGAACGTGCATGTAATCAAAACCTTAATCTTCTTGTCGAAGTTTCTCAGATTTCTCTTGCTTCTGTACCTCTCGATTCTCTCCTTTTTCTCCTCCGGACTGTATCGACAAGCTTTGGTCATACTTTCAATGATACTGCTCTCGGTGGATAATGGACTCTCTGGCAGTTGCTTATGTTGAACCATGTTAATTCTCTGTAGCACAGAGCAATAAAAAAACTTTATATCTATATGAAGATTCAACCATGGATAATTTTGCAATAAACAAGTGTCAAGTGCTTTTTTTCCTCTTTGGAAAAGGATAAATATATATGTTGTCCATAGGATTGCATTTGCATGACTCATTAGAGTAATTATTAGGACCTTAAAAACACTTAATTTGTTGACATAAAAATGTGTCTAGAGATAGAGTTTCAACGAAGAAGTTCAATTGTTACTGTCACATTATTATATTAAACCGAGTTACGTATTAGATGAAGCTTAGTCCTTCAGACCTTTCAATCTCACAACTTTATTAGCTTGGGTCGCTTGCACGCTTTAAGGACTGTGGAATGATATGCACTACGACAGACTCACCATCTATGTGGACAGACTAACTTATTTAGGCAAGCCAATGCCATAATTATACACAAAAAGAAAGAATGTTGCTATTTAAGTTATTCTAAGAGCTCACCTGTAAGTCTCCGGTGCTGACCACCCTCCTCACCGGACTTGTCTCCAAGTCAAGGTACTCAGTGGGAGAAGAAACGAGTTGGTGAAATCCATTAACGTTCTTCTGGAGAGAGTGACTGCTCACACTCCTCTGTATCAAACTCGGCTGCTGAGTCGTCGTCCCATAGCTTGTAAGTGAACTCGGCGAGCCATAGCTACTGCACCCACTACTAGTACTGTAACCAAACTCTGATTTCAACCCCGACACCGAGTCGAACTCGTTGCCGGGAATGATCAGAAGTGGTGGCAATGGAGCTAAAGGGAAGGCCGATGGTGGTGTAACAGAAAACTGGCCAAGAAAATCGGAAGTTAAGGCGTAGGAAAATTCGTTACTGTTCTGTCCATACATGGCGGGTGGCGGTGTTTCAGAGTTTTTTCTGGGGGTTTGAGAGAGAGAGAGAGAGAGAGAGAGAGAGAGAACTGGTTGATTTTGTAAATCCAGTTAGCCTATTACTCTTTTTTAAAGAGGTTGGGACGAGCTGGATGGTGACGTGGAGGATGACGTCATTCCTGAGAGGCGTTGACTCTTTAGTTGTTTTTTCTTTAACACGTTGGCCTACCTACACTATCATCGAGTCAAGAGAGAGAAGAAGCCACTCAATTAGATTAGGGTAACATATCCAAGAGGACACTTAATTTCAATAATATGCCTAAGTTCTTGATGTTCAATTCTTTTTAGGCATTATGTTGAGAGCGCAAGCGCGTTACAAATATTATAGGAGGGGATTATTGAGAAATAATGATGAAAATCGGACTTGGATTGACTATGAAAGAAAGAATAAACCATTGTGATCAAACAAATTACTCTTTATTCTGATAGTTTTTATAAATTATTTTTTTAATAACATATAACTTCTAATTACATATCTTTTGGACTCGTGACTATAATACAGAAGTCGAGTGCACTACTCATATACTACAAGAATCGAGCAAATTAACCAAACATCTGTTAAAGCATTCAAATTTTGGATTTAGAAATAGTAACCCTAAAATCTTTAATTCTGATTTATCCAGGAAAACCCACTTAGTTCTGAGCCATGCGCTATACCATTTTGAATTAGGCTGGCCACTATACTCCCTTGGAGGACAAGGATTACAATATTGTGGTGGAATTTCTTGTCATATTGTGGCCTGCATTCTTCAGCCTTTTGGTTCACTCTACCTGGTTCTCTCTTCTTCAATTCGAGGCTCTGTTCACTCATGATACAACACCTGCCCATAAAAAACAAGGGATTTAACTAACGGAATTGTCACGTAATTCATTATAGCCGTTAAGTTTACCATGAACCCTAACAACAGTGTTAAGCACATTTCGTAGGATCGTAGCATGACAAATGAAGAAAAGGAATTAATTTTATGACATTCACAAACCATTGAACTTCTTAGACCTTATGCACCGAGAAGACAAGGTCTTCCAGAATATGGGTAGTACAATGTGTCAGTCACATTGTAAACTAATTTGGGGAATCACTCGAATATTCGGTCTATATCATAAACTTTCCACTGTGGTCCTATGTATCCATCCCTTCGAAGTTATGCTCAGTCTGCCTCATGAGACATCACTTCATCCAACTTGCGTTCGGCAAGATAAAAAAAAAGGAAAGAAAAAGAGGACCCCACCCCACCACTTAGTTTCAAAAGGAAGAGAGAGAGAGAGAGAGAGTAATTATTTAACATAGACCCATGTGAGGGGCATATAATTCCAATCATTTGATTGAGGTTAGGGATGATTATATTAAGGATAATCATCATTATAGTGACATTAAGATGTTATAAGGTTCTTAAATAATTTGGAGCTTCAAATCATCATTCATGTGTGAATTATAATTATGAGTTAATTACAAAATGTCCCCTTAAACTTTGGGTTTTATTTCAATCAGGGCCCTCTGGTTTAAAATTAAACAATTTGTCCCCTTCAAGTTCTAAAATTAACAAGTTGACTAAATAATTAGACAAAAATTTTAAAATTACTTTTGTACTCTTAGCCTTTATTCATCTCAATTTTTTCCTTTCTCTTTACCCAATTGAGCCAAAATCTCCAACGCCACCATCCACAACCCACCACAACCACCAACCACCGCAGTTGTCAACACAGCTACAATCAACCCGTGCACAAACCACCATAGCCACCACCCAACTAACTAGCCAACAACCATCGCAACTACCATCGTAGCCATAAAACCATTATAGCAACTACCTAGCCACCCAAACTACAAACGACCGCATCCACCACTTGACAAAATCACCAGATTCACAATGGAGAAGGGCAGTTTTGGTGGGGTGGGCTTCGGTTTCAATGGAGTTGAGGGAAGAGTAGGGGTGGGTTTTGGTTTTAGTAAGAGGTGTTGGAGGGATTTGAGTTTGGGTTCAGTTAATGAGGAGTAATTAGGGAGTTGAAGGAATGGTGGAGATGGGTTTTCAATTTCAATGAAGGGGTGGGAGGGATTTGGGTTTCTGTTCAAGGAAGGGGGAGGGATTAGGGGGTTGAGGGAAGGGAGGGGTGGGTTTCAGTGGAGGGGGGAGGGATTAGGGATTTTCATCAAAGTTGGGTTTTTTTATTTTTATTTTTCTTTTGATTTTTGATTTTGATTTTTATTTTTATATAAAATATTAAAACAAGGGTAGTTGTGGGTTTTTAATTAATTTAAGTCATTTTTAACACTGTTCAACTAATGGTAAAAGTTAATTGAAAATTATTCAAACATTAAGGGGGCAAATTGTTCAATTTTAAACTAGAAGGCCCTGATTGAAATAAGACTCAAAGTTCAAGAGGGCATTTTGTAATTAACCCTATAATTATTGTGCTATTCCACATTAAACCCTTTTCTAGAAATATTGTTTCAGTGACATCCAATATTACACACACACACACACAGAAATATATATATATCAATCAGTTGATTGTCTTGTCCAAGGTCATGCCAAAGCCTGGTTATTTCAGTTGGTTACTTGTTTCTTCGTTTCATCATTTTTCGTTCCACCATGGGATAAGACAGATGTTGTTATGATGTTAGATCCACTGCAGACGATGTACAAGCAGTTATTGGACTTCTGCTTACCAAAATGAAAAGGAAGATACTAGTTGCATCATGTGACATCTCCTTAAAGCCGCATTTGTATACTCCATCTGAAAGTGGGATATGATAAAATTGTTTGTTTTGCACAACACCTTTGCTTGCTCCTAATATGCCTTAAAACCAAGGCCTCTAGATAGTGAGCGTGTCATTTCATGCAATATTAAGACTCTTTCCATTATTTTTTTCTTCCAAGGTGGGATTGGCACATTCGATATCTCAACATTTTGAACCCTAATCTTCTGCCATTAGGAATGAGATCCTACTTCCAGCTAGAGATTGCAGCCCATTAATTTATTTCAACGGTGTTCCTTTTGCGGGAAATCTGCTAGCACCAAAAGATTTTTTGTTTTTATCTTTAAAAAAAATTGCCAAAAAAATAAAAAAAAAATTCTTGGAATCCGAGGAACGTAAACTTGACTGAAAATCTTATATGATCATGATTTATACTTCGAAAAATGTCCTAATTTGCGTAACATGAGTGCATGTTTTCACCAGGAGGACAGGGACCCTTAAAGCATCTTTTTCTGTAGGACCTTAAAGAATCATCTGTATCACTTCAAACAGGGTATCTTATTGTCTTTGAGAAACTCTGTCACTCGAATGATGGCCATGTAGACTTAATGCATTTTTGCTGCTCAAAGCAACTAACCAAGAGAGAGAGGCTTGGTCGTTTAGTCCCTTGGTTGGTGGTCAGTAACTATGTTGAACAGAAATGAAATCAATAAACCCCCAAAGATTTGCATGAGTTTCTGCTGCTGCTACAACGCCTGCCATCGATCCAGTAAACGAGGATCGGCTCGGTGATAGGTATTTTTTCCACCTCGTCTATAAATAAGATGGTCGAGTTTCACCACTTCCCTTCCTTAAATTTGTAGACTGACAACGATCGCCACCCACATAGAATGTCAGTATTCATAACCCACTTGTGCTATTTCATTTGCGTGCCCGAATCGACTTTTATAGTGGGAGCCAATTAAGTTGATGTGCCACTTTGATAGTTAGATTCCAAATCCCTCAGTTATACAATATATACCTGCAAACAGTATATGCCATTGAGACAGTGTTAAAAGTTCAGAAGCTTCAATCAGTTCTCCATGCATGTCTCATTTTACCGGTAAGTTCATGTCTTTAAACCATTCTTCATGTATGTGTTTATAGTGTAACGACCGGCCCAACTATAAATGATATTGTTAACTTTGGTTTTCCTCACGACTTTAAAATGTGTCACAATAATTAAAGACGTAACTTTTATATATGTAGTGTAGGGAGGCGATATGTGACATGTTTATGGAACCTTCTCACTTCATCTTTTTTTAGAGTTTTTTGGACTGTTGAACGGTTGAACTTTCGAGTGTCATACAAAAATAGTTGGTTCATGGATTATAAACTTATAATAGGAATTTTTTAAGGGTGTAATTTGGATGGATTGCGAGATTAACCCTAGCTCAACCCTTTACTTCTAACCCGACCTCAGTCTGCGGTACTCAATCCAAGCGTTGTCCAAGTTGAATTCTGACAAACTCGGATTTAATTCAGTTATCTAATTCGGGCTTATTTGAATTCAAATTTGATTAGTTCATGTCTGAAATCAGTCTGTTGTTATAAATCTGGTATATAATATATAGTATTCACCAGAAGTGTCAACCAACAACTTCAACCAAATATTTAACATAAAGACTATAGTATTTAAAACATAAAAAAACATATTGAACAAAAAACCAAATTACACGTTTCTTAATATAAAGACATAATAATCAAATTAACATAAAAAAACATATTGGACTCAATATTTAATCATAATATCTGGACAACTCGATACCTCAATGTGGTTATTACCCAAATTTAATTCGGATTGATATTTTTCAATCCTGGTGTAACTCAAGTATTAAAAATATTAACCCAAATCTTTTTTTTTTTCAATTGAGTTCAGGTTAAATTTAAATTAATCCATCCAAGTTATACCTCTATTTGAGAATTAACTGCATAAATCCCTCTTTAACAGAAGAAAGGGAAGGACAAAAGGCAGCCTAAGTATACCTAAGGCCTGCAGCATAATGCATAGGCCATGTGTGTATCTTACTAGGCAATGATCGATGTTCTGTGGTGGTGTGGAAGATTGAAAAACATAAGGTGGGTGTTTCTTCTAGACGAAAAGGGAAGCTGTGGCCAATAAAGAAGATCAAATTGGCGGTGACCCCATCTTCACTATACCCTTCTGATCTGTCAAATGGGGTCAACCAGCAAAACAGTCTCCCCACTAGACTCTGTGATTGAGTACCACACGGTTCAGGCCCTTGGCTGTTTTTTTTTTGCTTTCAGATTGTTGTGATGGGTTGCAGCACAAATCCTTCTACTGCAGAATGGTAAATCAGCAGTCATTAAAAAAACTGGTAAATTAATTGGAGAACCATAAATTTTGGTTCAATTGATTTGCAGCTCAAATATGATAAGATAATATAAAAAAAAAAAAATTTAAACGTTTTATAATTTTATTGAATGAAAAATGAAGTATTTTACCAAAAAAGTACAGTAACCGGATTATCTAGTATTAAATTACTTGCCTATTGCCTGATTATATGTATACATGCAGCTTGAAGTTGATGCAGTTGTATCCTTTGTGTGTAAGTTTGAGATTTTATTCCACTTGATGATTGAAAAGTCAAAGGGATAGTGAGGTGTGCCCATCTGGGGGAGGCATCACTGCTAGCTTTCTTGTGCAACTCTCCAATTGCAACCAAGTCAATCCTCTCCACCATATCACTACTCCTCTGTTGCCTTTGAAACTATCTTCAACTTTGGCAATTTTTTGTGCCTTTTTTCTGTCTGTCTGTCTCTCTTTCTTTCCTACACACTTCACCAAAGTTGCTAGGGTCTTGAGTCTCTTGACTTATTGTACACTTCTAATGATTTTTGTCCTAAGGAAAATAGAAATTACAATGACACTCAATCGTATTTTCTGTAATAGAGACACTCCCTGTTTATTCAACTTAATTTCAAAAAACTATAAAGGGTGTCTTTTACCATTATCAAAAAAAGGAGATGCCATTACATTTAACCTAAAATAGGTATGGATTTAAATCTCTTATAATACTTGAACTCAAGTTTATTACAAGAGATCTAGAATTACTTATGTGCTTCGTTAAATTAGTTATGAGTCGCCTTTGGGCCTTGAAATACAAGAAAACATTACTTGATCATTAAATATGTCTTTGCCACGTGTTCTTCAAATATAAAGGGAAAACATTATAACTTTTACATATTAAAAGAGAAGCATACACACAACATCATGAAAAAATATTCATTGTAAAGGTAATACCACATCAGCATTGTTGTGTGGTTTGACCATCTAATAATATGCAGACAAATAAGGAAGTGAGCCCTACACAAGTCAATAACAATCTGCTACCACTCTTCTTCCACATAAACTAAAAACAACGCAAGTGAAATTCACTTTGTCCATGTTGTGAGAGAGAGAGAGAGATGGTCCGAACTTCACTAGGCCCTGCCCAACAAATTATCTCAGAACTTGTTTGACAAAAAGAAATCTGATGACTGGAAGATGCCCCATTAACTAAGAGGGAGATGAAATGGGTCCAAATGGACCATTTCTACAATTCAATATACCTCATAAATTCAGGGTGTGAAGGATAATCTAATAAAAGTCGTTGAGATTGTCTCTACAAATGAGAATAAGTGATCTATCTGATCTCATCTCATCTTGCTTTGGCATTTGACCTAACAGATATCCCAATAATAGCATATCAATTCTTGACCCCCTGTACGAGTTTCCACATCACTGGTCATATCCAAGCAAGAGATATGCACTTCTTTCACTTCCTTTCTAGAACTCAGAGACAAGTTGAAAAAACAATGAATGATGGAGAAAGAAATCCCCCAAAAGCCCCTTTAAGATAAGGCAAACCAAGCACTACAGTACAGTCACTTTCGTTTTCAGTATTTTCAATGTAAAGGGGGAAGAAGAAGAGCAACCCTTTTACCTTAAGAGTAGGCTTTTTGAGTGGAAGTTAAGATCCTATATTAGTTGAGTTAATAATGTCGCAAGGGTCAAGCCAAAGTTGTCGATCTCTATATATAGTTGGTTAGGTTTCTATTCATGGGGCACACAAATTGGTCACTAAATTTAGATTGGTGCAATTTTTTTTTTTTTTTTTGGGGGGGGAGTACAATATTGGCAATTTGTCACAAGAATAAGGTTCAAAATAGTGAACTCTAAACGAATCTCAACTGTTATTTGATTTTCACGCCAAATTTAGCATATCCAAGCTCAACGAACGAAAGGTAGCTTTATGAAAGCGGTCCTCAAACAGGGCGAAGCAATTAAGTTGTGCATAGAGAGACCTGACCTGATTACATGACAGATTGTGTTAGATAGGGGATGATAAACCCGGCCCATAAGATATGGGAAATCCATAATCCATGTCTAGAAAGTGCTAGCCCAATTGAAGTCCAGAGTAGGTTCATAGCCCTGTTCTGATTATTAAGCCCAATTTCTGAACTTCCAGCTCTGTTCACTGGAATATGTCAAAAGCTCTGGATTGTAGTTACACGCTGACGAGCCGGATGACATATTATGATTCGTTGCCTTAGATTATTTCCACCGAGATTTTATATTTTAGTTATCCAAAAATATACTTTTTTTTATTTTAATTACTCATTTTTTTAATACACACTACAACAGATTTTTTATATTTTAATTACTTCTTTTAAATATGATTTCTCATATTTTGTACATTTGTTGGAAATATTGAACGGAGAGAGGTATAACTAAATTTTAATTATTTTAGAATTTTAACCATTCTGTTGGTTCGTCTTCTTGTTTTAAACTAAGGTTGCCTCTAATTATAAAGCCCAGTAAGTGAACTTCTGACCCAATTCATCGCTGGACTAGGTTAAAAGTCCAATTGTAGTTGGGCCTCATACACTAAACCATTATTGCCTCTCGCTGGATTTCATTTTTGGAGGAGATTTTTCTGAGAAGAATATGTAATTTCAAGATAAAAATTTAGTTAAATTCAGAATCAACATTAGAGAACCGGACCTTTGTTGATTGGCAAGATGATATGGGACAACTTATTTGAAACAAAGAGATTTTTGTAACTGCTTGATGTATCAAAGTTAACTTACACATTCTCGTATTATAATGCATCCGTATCCTCATAAAGAGGAATAACTGCAACGACAATATTAGAGTTCCTTATTGGTTGTCATGGTCATCTGCACTCCAATGTAGTTTTGCAATTGGTCATATGAATTACTCAACACCTCCTTGATAATATATAAATTACAACTCACTTACACAATGCACTACACAAATCTCACAAGCAGAAACAAAGCAACACCATTTGTTACAGGTACACAGAACACTATAAGCATATGGGCACCTAGTAATAAACCATAGTACAGTAGTATAATAATCCTTATAGAACTAGTGAGACCTTGCCAACAATGCTTGTGATTGCTTCTCATAACGAAACCCCTGGCCTTTGAGTCATCTGCAGACCAAACAAAGATGCCATGGAGTTGTTGCTGATTCATGAGCCTATTGCAGGCCGTAAAGAACCCATTTTCTGGCGACAATCCGCCGCTTCCGTCGCTTATAAAGCTTGTTAGAACCTTACCCCCCTTGTAATTTGTGCTCTGGGTCTTGAAATAACTCAAGAATTGAGACACAGTGGTGCCCTGATCATATGCGTAGAACTGAAAATTGACGTAGTCTATGAGGTGGCCATAGCTTTTCCACAGAGCCAAATAATGGCTCTGAACTTGATCATCATCGAATGGAGCTATGGAAGCAAATGAAATCACTCCATTGTTCTTGAGTTTTGTAATAAGCTGCCCAATACACTCGGCAAAGGTCTCAGGATCAGCACTGAAGTGTTCGTAGTCGATGTCGATTCCGTCGAGGTTGTATTGTTTGATGATATGCGTGAGAGAAGAAACAGCATTGGAAACCCATGAATCGACAGAGGATGGGTTGAAGTAGGCGTAACCATTGCCAACACTGTCCCCTCCTAGGCTCAATGCCACTTTGACATTCGAATGCTGACTTTTGATGGAAGACACCGCGGAGGGACTGAGATTATCGGAGTCCCAGAAGACATTGAAATTCCCATTTGTGGGTGAGGGAGATGACGAGGTTGTATAGTCTATGGCAAAGGAGAGAATGAAGTGGAATTCAACGTTTGAATTGATTGGGACATCAGAAAATCGGACATTATTGAACTCTGCTCCTATGTATTCTCGAAAGAGGTTTGTGGGTGCAGCTTGGGCTGATCCATAGGAGAAGATTAGAACTTGAAAAACAGTGATACTGAGAAAAAGCTTAGAGAATTCCATCGCGATTGAAGACTATATTTGTGTAGCAGTCTGTGAAGGAAAGAGGGTATTGCTGGATGTGTTTATATACTGCAATGGTTATGTGGGTGAGGGCCAAAAGGGAATAGAAACCCCACTGCAATTAAAAAAATAATAATAATTAAAATACAACATGCCGTAACCGCAATATGTTTTTAGAGATAGTTCTTCTATCTAAAGTTGATTCAGATAACAATCATAGACATGATGTCTCGTATAAGATCAACTGAACCAAGTTGATTAGTCTTTTGTTCCTATTCGAGGAAGATTTCTGACCTCAGGTAGTTAAGGATTAAGATATAGTTTTTCTAATTCCTATTTTTTTCCCTATAAATTTGAATATTTTCATGTATGCCATGCATTTCTTGGAATTTCAATTTTTTTTTTGTTAAAATTTTTTAGTATATAAACATATCCTGATATAAATTAAAAAACCTTTGAATTTTAATTGAAAAATATCGTAAGCCTAAAAAAATTAATTTTTTTTCATGTGTTTGGTTAGTACAGAATAAAAAATAAAATAATTTACTTTTATGCTTAGATTTTTTTTTAATAAAAAACACAAGAATATATAATAAAGTTGTGATGCATGACAGCAAGAATCCAAAACATAGTCCGTTTGATAGTGGGGAAAAGGTATGTGGAAGAGACGGCAATCCTTGGCGCTATTCATCTCTGTGGTGGAGTGGGTGATCATACATGAGTCCCATTACACCAGCTAAAAAAAAAAAAAAGAATTCACACAAATTCAACTAAACACGTTTAAATAAGATACTAATTCCACATGTCATGAATTTGTCTATATATAATTATACATGAATTAAATATAAATTAAACAAATTTTAACACGACACAACCTATTACCAGCATGTTATAAATAACCGGAATTGTAACGAGTCTATTGGCTCAAAATAAGGATGCATAGTATTCATTCTATTAGCTCCTTTAATTAATTTGAGTGACATCACCCAACCTTTATAGGACGGCTTGTTGATACTGTTAGGTCTGATTCCATGCTTCTTGGCCAAGTTCAAAAGGGTAGGATAAAGAAAAGAAAAAGAAAAAGAATTAAATAATGTGATATTATAATAACTATTATAATATCACATTATTTAATTCCTGATTTTAATCTTTTTTTTAATCAATTTAACGCTTAGAATTATATGTCGCAAATGTCGTATTAGATTGACACAACCTCTTAACACAGAATAAGATACGATAAGAGAAACTCTTCGTCTCACCTTCTTTCCTTGGTGGTGGGGGTAATTTGAGACTTGGGTATATCATTGCACTTATTGAATAGGGAAAGTTTAATAACTAACACACTAATACTATTCAATAAATTGTTTATTAGTCATAGCCGCTAAGCAACGTACTACTTTCATAAATTGAAGGAGAGTTGATTATAAATCAAAGAGTTGGGGTTGTTGCCTATTCCAAACAAAATGTAAAATAAAAGAAAAACTGTTAAACAAAAAGGTGTCGTTTTTAAATAAAACTAAAATAGTTCTGTTAACAATATCGTTTAGTCTAACATCAAAGGCGATGTAGTAGAGTATCTTCAGCCTGCGATAGTAGTTGCACACCCAAAAGAAAATTAAATAGATTTGAAACGTTACGAAAATTATTCTTCGGCTCTTGGCCTAAAGTAGAATACAAAACTTCAATGGGTGTATTTAGTAGTTCACCAATGTGAGCTCATTAAATGAAAATATGAAAAAAGTGAAGGCTACAATGAGCTACTAATCTTAGACTACCATGTGAAAGTTTGAAAGAAATCAAAGCCAATCTTGGACTTTTTGAGGCCAATAGATACCAATGACAATGCATCAATTAGCACGAATTTGGCTTTTTATCTCACCATGTTTGACTTTGATGCTCCGATTGGTACTATAAAAAAATGAGAGAATGAAAAATTAGAAAGATAAATAAAATATCATGTTTAATAAGAAAGAAAAATAATAAGGATGAAAAAGTGGATGGATTAACTTTCCTTCTAACTCACTAAAATCAATCCCTCTAAAATCGGAAGGAAAATGGATGAAAAATTAATTATTTGTGTTGAGATGTATCTTATTTGTCTATATATCTTTTTATATATACATTAATTTCATATAAAAATACAATGGTAAAATATGTGTATATATATTTTTTAAAAAAATTTAAAATAAAAAATAATAATAAAAAAAAATATTTTTTCCATCTTAACTAAGGGTGAAAATTTTTGACTCAACACGATAACACGACTCAAACTCGATACGAAAATAAACAGGTCAACTCGTAACTCTACACGACACAATTAGTTAAATGAGTTAAGTTATGTTTGACTAATATTCGACACAAACCCTTAATGACTTAACACAAATTTGACACGACACAACTCGATCGTCGCCCCTAATCTTAGCCAGCACAAAAAAAATAGTCATTTTTATTTTCCATCCATTCAACCAAACACAAAGGAAGAGAAGTGTATCATTCCTATTTTTTATCCTTTAAAAATAGAAAATATATCCCTTCTATTTTTCATTCTCCCTAACAAACAGAGCATGAGAATCACTTCCTGTCAAGGAGTGTCAATTCATGTTGTGTCGCGTGACCGATGTCTTGTAATCGTGTCATTGTTATTCGTGTCAAGACCCACAAAAAAAATTTATTTAATGTATTCTAAGTGTCAAATATTAATCAAAATTATTTATTATATATATTAAATAATTGTGTCGTATCGAATTTGGGTCAACCGATCAGCGTTGACACTCATACTCACAGTGATCTTGTTTGTTTGTCTACGAAGAGAGAAACCAAGTTCCAATTGTTCTTGCTCTGGATGTTAACTTACATGGTACATGGTTGACTGCACCAGGAAAAAAATTGAGATGTCAGGAATTCTTAGGAATTTAGTTTAGAAACACAAGAAAACAGTAGTGACACTCACCAAATTCCTTTTAGGATTAGCAGAAATATATGATAAAACTCTTACTAACAGAGATAGCATCAAAATACATAGGATATGCAACTACATCATATATTGGACCTATATATTCAACCCCAATGGTCTTGTCTTGTGTAACACAAAACACTAAAAACATTTTAAAGCTGATATGCTAGTGGGAGATTGCTAATAGTGCTTGTGATTGCTTTTCATAACTAAAACCTCCGGGCATGGAATCATCAGCAGACCAAACGAAGATACCATGAAGGTTTTTCTCACTTTTGGGCCTATTGCAGGCAGTGAAGAAGCCATCTGCCGGAGAAAACCTGCCACTGCCATCGCTGCTGAAGCTGGCAAAGATCTTACCCCCTCGGTAATTTGAGCTTTGAGTCTCAAAGTAATTAAACTGAGACACTGTGATACCCTCATCATAAGCGTAAAATTGGAAGTTCACATAGTCTATGAGATGTCCATAACTCTTCCAAAGTGCCAAGTAATGGTTCTGGACTTGATCATCATCGAATGGAGCTATGGAAGCAAATGAGATAACACCATTGTTCTTGAGTCTTGTTATAAGCTTCCTAATACACTCAGCAAAGGTATCAGGATCAGCATTGAAGTGCTCGTAGTCGATGTCAATTCCATCCAAATTGTACTGTTTGATGATATGCGTCAGAGAAGAAACAGCATTGGAAACCCATGAATCTACCGAGGATGGGTTGAAGTAGGTGTAACCATTGCCAACACTGTCCCCTCCTAGGCTCAATGCTATTTTGACATTCGAATGCTTACTTTTAATCGAGGAGACTTGAGGAGGGCTGAGATTATCGGAGTCCCAGAATATGTTGAATTGTCTATTGGTGGGAGAGGGAGAAGACGAGGTGGTGTAATCAATGGCGAAAGCGAGGATGAAGTGAAATTCAACATTGGGGTTGATGGGTACATCTGAAAATTTGACATTGTTGAACTCTGCACCAATGTATTCTCGGAAGAGGTTTGAGTTTGTCGGGCAGCTTGAATTGATGGTACCATGAAGAGAGCTTGAACAATGGCAAGTGTGATGAAAAACTTAGAGAACTCCATTATAGTTGAAAAGGGTAAGATTGTGCTGAAGTCTTTTGGAGGAAGAAGTAGCAGCACGAGACTATATATATATATATACACTAATCTGTCCATGAAGATGTTGGCATTTGAGAAAATAAAGAAATGGTGAAGTAATGGCTGCTTTTGTGTGCCGTTGCGGTTGCAACATGATATTTTGATCCAATTCAAATAAAAAAAAATGATATTTTGATGTCGCATTGTCGCAGTAAAACAACAATTGACTGTAGGTCTCATCAAATATTAGAATTTAGTGTTGATCTAATGATTCTTATAAAACCACATCATTATATCAGCAAATTAGATCAAATGTGTAGGTCTAAATAGTATTATTCGATAGACAAAACCTGCACATTATTGCTTTGTCAAACACACACATACACACACACCACAAAGGCGCACATAAAATGTTGCCATGAATAACACACACAAACACATATACTCACACACACAACACAACACAACTGCTGCTAGCTACATACAATCTGATCAACCCGACGCCAACAGATCTTGAGACGCCTTCTCGTATTTGAAGCCACTTTTTGTTGATTCATCAGCGGACCACACAAAAATACCACCAAGTTTCCCTTTCCCCTGCAACTCTTGGCAGGCTTGGAAAAAACCATTGTCAGGGCCTAAGCCACCTCCACCACCACTCTCAAAGCCAGCTAAAATCTGACCTCCTCCATAGTTAGAAGCTTGCTCATTAAAATGGCTTACGAACTGCGAAACACCAATCTTATCATAAGCATAGAATTGGAAGTTCACATAGTCAATGACATTCCCATACTTCCTCCACAAAGCCAAGTAATGATTTTGCACCACCCCATCGTCATAGGGAGCAATTGAAGCAAATGAAATTGTACCACTTTTCTTGAGTTCTGTTATAAGTTGTCCAATGCATTCTGCGAAGATTTCAGGGTTTGATTTGAAGTGCTCGTAGTCAATATCGATGCCATCTAAGTTGTAATGTTTGATCATACTAGTTAGTGAAGAGACCGCAATTTTGACCCAAGAGTTGATTGATTTTGGTGCAAAAAAGGCTTTGTCTTTACCAACACTGTCACCACCCAAGCTGACACCTACCTTGACATTGGCATGATGATCCTTAATTGAGGCGATTTTGGCTGGACCGAGATGGTTGGTCTCCCAGAAGACATTGAACTCTCCATTTGTAGGGGATGGATGATTATTATTGGTTGTGTAATCAATAGCAAAAGCCAGGATGAAATGGAATTCAACTTGTGAGTTTATTGGCACGTCGGATAACTTGACTGAGGCAGATTCAGCCCCAATGTACTCGCGGAAAAGATTTGAATTGGCAGCTATAAGAAACAAGTGAAAGAGTTACTAACATTAGATAAAGAATATGATAATGATCACTACTGTTGATATGGCCTAAGCACAACCCTTTTACATCTAAATCACCAAGTTTGTATCATTTTTTTCTGGTTTGGCAAAACCCATATCTGTATTGGTGATATAGTTATAATAAAGATCAAAAGCAATTAATTGGATAGAAAGTTCCTTGAACCCGCAATAATAGCCGTCTTGTGCATTGTGTTGTCTTCTTTATAGAATGTTCTATGTACATACTTCACCAGAATGGCTACAACTTCTAGTAGAATTTGCTTACCATTGCAAGTGGAGAAGAAGTGAACAAAGAGGATGACCAAGAGGGTGCTGTAGCAAAACGTCATGGCTGCTTTGGTTTGAGGGAGTGATTTAAAGGGTGATGCATATTTAAAGGGAGTATGAAACATCTTTATTTTCGTCCAAGGCTGTTGGCCTGCTCTTGTTCTAATCGTGGAAATGAACCCAATTATTATCCTTGGGGAGTGGTTGGCATTTACCGAAGTATGACTGGACGAAACCAGTATCCTTAAATTAAGATATATCGATGGAGAGCACTATTAGCCAGTGAATTCAATACGAAATTAACACTGAGTCTGGTTTGAATTTAACTTTAACAGGTTTAGAAAATTGATGTATAAATCAGTTAAACACGGCCACATGCGACATATACACCATACTGCCATGTTAATTTCCCGAAGATGATTAGTTCTATGTTGGCAATGCATAGGGGAAGCTGCATTACGGATGGAACACTTCATCGTCTAGTTGTCTCTGGATTTTTGCGTTGTTGTTAGCTACATACGGCAGATTCTGTAAAATACCAAAATGTTTCAATCAATCCTTCAAGACTCATAGTATATAACTAACTATAGTTGTTAGTTGGTGTCTCTTCCAGCTACGAATATTCAGTTTTAACTCCATTTGTGCAAAGCATTATAATCATCAAAAAACTCTGTAGCTGCAGCAGTAGCAGTAATACATAAACTGCAAAGTTACCCAACTGACTAACCACAATGGCGTTTTAACTCTTATTAAGTTTGGGCTCATCGGGATACGAATAGGCAAAAGGGATATTTTTTTCGTTTATAGATTACTCGGATAAATGCAACAACTCAGGAAAGATGGCTACCCTATAGTTGTAATAGATTAATCCATGATCTGTATAAGAGACAATTGCTTCTGACTAGCCCTATTTGCAGCCTTGATGCTGGATCTAGTGGGTTAGAAAATAACGGTTCAAGGCCATACCCGTAGGGTTATCTGATTTTCCAGCCACCGCTACATGCCTGGCTACACCATGCCACGATGAATTTGCATAGTTTTATTTCTAGAGTTTTTGAATGTAATGATCCCACAGTTTTAAGGTCCAATAGCAAAACTAACTGCCAATCAGAAGGGGTTTTCATTTAATCCCAAAAATAAGAATATGTTTTTCTCCACGACTATCTACCAACTCATTCCAACAACTCGTCTTAGTTTTGGGTCAGTCATGAGATCAAACATCTTATCTGCACAAGTAATGGCATCACATTGTGAAATTTTGTACAGAATTCTATTATTCTACTTTAGCTATTAGTGTGCACGGTGGTCCTACTTGTTTCCTCAAAACGGAGAGTGGGACAAATAAAAGTGACCTTTGAGTAGAAAGCTCTGCACTTTGTCTCATTGCTCAGAGTAGGGTGGTTGAATATGGAAGCCCATGGCCTCTCATTCATGCTAAGTCTTATCAGTTCTCCAATGGAGGGCCTGCTATTCAACGAGTTAACGCATTTAATATTAGGTATGTTTTTATTTGCCCTAAAAAAAAAATTAGGTTGGAATCAAATTTTGACTCGTCTAAATTTAAATTTAATTGATTTCAAATATATGAATCCCGGATTTGACTAGGGCACTTAAAAAAAATATTCGGTTCCGTATATCCAAAATTTACTACTTCAATATGTATTTTTATAATTTTTATGGATCATTTTATAACTAAAAAATTTAGTATTTTTGTGGGTGATTTACTATTGTTATAGGCGTGTTTATCATTGTTGTGATAATTATTTTTATCACTTTTTTTTTGTACCAAAAAAATTATCACTTTTATGGATAATTTATTACATTTATGAGTGTTGTGTTAATTATTTCTACTACTTTTTTTTAGTAGTACGATAATAATAAATTTACCCACAAATGTAACGAATGTCTAAATTTTGGTACCGTAAACAACTCCATGAATCCAAGGGCAGGCCATGAAACAGTTATAAAATTACTCTGTTTGGTTCAAGCGGTGGAATTAGTCTTTGTTTATGGAGGATAAGATTGTGTGTATTTGACTTTTTTTTTTTGTTGGATCCTATGATAGCGGGTACAATATTAAGTGTACACTTGGCTGCCTATTTTTCACGTCTCAATTTGTCAAACTCCAAGTCGAATTTCGTAAAATTTAATATAATGGATTTGAATTGAAATTCAATTTAAGTTAATCAGCTAAAAAATTAATTCATATACAACTACTTTTATTTTGATTGAAATTTAAATCAAAATTCGATATGGCCGTAAGTGTGCTTAACTAGGGGTGCAACTTGGACGGGCTAATCCGATTTCAACCCGAAAAAATGGGTTTTAGGCTAGAATTTTTAATACTTGAATTTGGACTTAGGTTAAAAAATTTCAATCCGAATTTAATTTGAGTGGACATCGGGTTGACCCCTTATATTACCAAGTTGAACCCGAATAATCATATATAAATGCATTTTTAAGCACTCACTATTTAAGCAGGTCCTAATTAGACTTTCATTCTTTATATAACTCTAAAACTCTCATTTCTCATATAACTCTCTCTCTTTCTCTCATGTTATTATCTTTTTTTGCCCTATTTTTTTTTGTTATTATTTAATCTCATAAATCAGATGAAACTATATGTTATACAATTATTTATTTCATTATATTAATTCAACGTTTTTATATATCTAACGGCATATAAATAACAATTAATGTAAATAATAAATAAACACTAAATAATATTTAATTTCAAATGAATCTTACATTGTAAATCAATATATAATTTTATCAAAAATTGATATTTTATTTTGTCTAATTTATGTTCAACTTTGTCGAATTAATATCAAACTAATTTTTATTGTTATCAAATTAATATTGAAATTTATTTAATCAATTTTTTGGATTACTAAATTATATCAATTTTTTACTAAATCAAATTTTATTTGATTTTATTAAATTTTTAATTTTTTTGTACTAAATTTAGAGAATGACAATTGTAAGTAATTATTTTTTTTGATAAAATTATCAACTTTAATTAGCAAAATTGACAGAAGGGAAACAAAGAGGGTATCCGTGCAATAAATTTCAAACCTCAAGGGGTGTCTATGTTATTTATAAAATATCATGAAGTATCCATGTAATATTGCCAAAACTCAGGGGATGCCCCTTGATTTTTACCCTGTTTTTAATTAAACATTAATTTATTATTATTTTATCTAAAAAATTTGAATTATTGTATTTCTAATAAAATAGCTATTGGTTATAAGGGTTTGTTGATAATCAAAAAAGAAATGTGCATTGGCGTGTTTCTGTATATATTTATATGTGAAAGATTGAACATTTGGTAATTAAATTTATAATTATATTGTGTCATTTGGGGTTAAATAGTAATAGTGGTAATAAATTCATGAGTTTTATTAATGAGTAAGATTTGATTGATTTTATTTATCGATTGTAAATTTAATATTGTGTTCTGTTAGTATTTTTTTTTTGAGGTATTTATTACATGAGATTAGGGTGAATTAAAAATATGATGGTTGAGTTTATAATTATGTTGTGTTAATGGAATGAGTGGTAGTAAATGTGATAAATTCGTGAGTAGTATAAATGAGCAATATTTGTTTTATTATTTAAGATTGTAAATTTTAATTGGTTATGTCAATATTTTTTTCCCAAAAGGCATTTGTATATGTGACATTGTTTTGGAGAGTTTTTATATATTTTTATGATAGTTCTATTAATATGGAGGATATGTTTGACGATATATTTCAAGTAATTTTAAAGGAAGAATTGGTATAAATATTTTTAGGTCATTCTTTTTGAATTTGAACAATTGTTTTAATTTTTTTTTTTTTGTATAGTGCCTTCAGGCACGGATAATGACTAGTATTTATATAAAGATTCTAATTGTGTTTATTTGTGTTTTGTATGGTTATGGTTGTATTATCTCAAACATTAAGTTCTTAATATTATGATTTTTATATTAAAAATTTGATTGAAATTGTTGGTTGTTAATTTAGGTGAATATTATATAATATATGTATTAGATTTAGAACAACAAATTTATTTTGGAGTCAACCCAAATTCAATTTGAGTCTGTTCGAATTAAACTCGGGTGGCGCCCGAGTTGCACCCGTATGCTTAACATTAAAAATTTCTTCACATCGATGTTGATGTGTGATAGTAAGCAGGTACAGCTTAATTTCTGAAGTATTTTCATCTCATCAGCGTTGTATTGGACCCAATTGGAAGGAAGAGAGCAATTGGCTGCGAAAAAGTATGTGTTGACAAATCCAAAGGAACACGACCCATATAGCTTTCCCAAGAATAAGACACATGCTGCATTGTTTTTTGTTTTTGTCGGGGTGGGGGGGGGGGGGGGGGGGGGGGGGTGTTGTCAATGGGTGCTTTGTCATGGTACCCTGAAAGCTTGGCAAGTGAATAATCATATAATGGCTTTGCATGATGAACTTTATGGCCCTTTTTTCTATTAATAGTCACTGCATCAGTTTTTTCCATGTGAGATCTCGAGAATAGTCATACATGCGCAATTTTTTATTTTGTTTGGTAAGTAAATTTGACACCGTATTAATTTCAAAAATATATATTTATCATATTCTTATCATATATTTTTTATACGTTAGACTTGTATTATGGAGGTATTTTAATACCACCAAAAGAGGTGGTATTATAATCTAACTCAAATGTATTATTTTGCACATTTACCATTATAACCCTATAACTGATAAAATCAAACTGTTATCAATGTAACAAACACTGATTGAGGGTATTTTTGTTAATTCAACATTAATACGATAAAATAATTCCTTAACCAAACAACTGATTGGAGTAAATAATTACTATCTAACGTTTATGTTTTGTATTACTAAATACTAGATAAAATTATATATTATTCTAATACCATATTTAGTCTTATCTTTTATCCTTCTGTATTGTATTAGACCGAATTATTTTATCTAATCCATCCATTTCTAATTCGACAACCAAACGAGCCCATTGTAGCATAAACAATTTCATTTGACTTTACTGACAGAACATGATTGAATTACATAAACAAGTAACATTCATGGTATGAATAATGTTAATCGGTTATGTCCGATTTTGCGTGATATTTCAATTATATGTCATCAAAATTTACTCGACTTTACTTAACCCGTTTACAGTAATTCATGTTACATATAAACCATTTCAAACAAATTTAGAACTAGGTAATTGAACTATTGATTGGTGAACTAGTCAAGCTCGACAATCTATGTAACTACGATCCACGTCATGTTCGTTAGTTGGCCATCCATCCTAATATCCTTATTTTTCGTTTTCTCAACATTCACCTATGGTTTTCTAATTTTTTTGTCGGGCAAATGGGCTGGGTTGCCAAATAACCTTATCATTGGCAAATACACCCACTTGTTGAGGCTATAGGCCCAAAAAATATGACCCATGGCCCTACTTGTTGAATTATTGGGCTGTTTCATAAACCGTCTTGCCGGTTGTCCCAACCCATGACCTGATGGTCCACCGGTTTAACTTGGTAGCTGGGGGCCATGGGTCTGGTCATTTGCCCACTGTTGTAAACTTGTAATTATTGTTAGACAAAAATAGTTTTTTGGGTATAAAAAATAATTTTTGCCCGACTTTTATAATGAGATACACTCATTAGTTTGTGTAAATTTTTATAAATTCGTGTTTTATTCCGTTAAGAGAATAACGTAATCTATTTATTTTCTCAAATCAAATAAAAGTCGAATGAAAAAAATAGGATTTAAAGTGTTTACTTATGATATACAAATAGAAGTTCTGACACGTAGTATTTAACTCCAATCTTACATTGGTTGGTTAGATAAGAAAACTTTTGGTAAGGATATATATCTCTAAGTTGACTCTAAGCGGAAGGTCTCAAGGGCACCCCACTTTAATTTGTTGATGGGAGAGGACCTAAATGGATTCAACCATACACATGCATCGTTGTTTGGTCATGCTCAAGCTTGTGTACAATTATAATTGTGGTTCAGATTTAATCTTACCTTTTAAGATAAAATTAATTTGTTAAATGGATTCTTAATTTCTTACTCAATTTTTAATTCAAAATTCCGAGCAATCACATTTGCATCTATAAATAACAAAAAATCATTATGCATCAAAATTTTCTTAACAAAATTCATGATTATCGGAGTCATTACATTCATAATTTTAAGTCATCTACAGTATCCATTTTTGAGAGTATAAAAATACGTTATTGATTTGATGTTCACACAAATTACAGTGTGTGTTATCATTGTATAGCGGGAGACAAACACTCAATAATCCACAAACACAGAAGTATGGACAAAATCTGATTTACGAACATAATCAAAATTTTTAAATAGTTCATTTTCGACAATCGAATTAATTTTATGTGTTACTATTTTATTCTTAATTACATGATATAAATTATAAATTTCAATAAATATATCTGCACTTGTGGCTAGAATTGCGCTAGTGATGTGCCATATACCAAATACAAATAGAGATTGTAAGCGTATGATAGTCATTCTCTGGCGTAATTTGTTAAAATAATGTATACGAGTAGAGAATCAGAGGGAATCAGAGGGCAGTAAGAGTAATTTTGGCAGAAACGTAGTGGAAGTATTTTTTTGAAAGTTAAGGCATCAGGAACCTAAGGCATGTGCTGGCTCACATCAATCTTTTTCACACGAGGTACCTTTGACATCACGTACATGGCCCCCACTTTGCCTTCCTTTCTGGTATTCTCATCCATTTTTTGGCACTTTTTTTGGGGGTTCTTAATCTTTGGCTGTTCGATAATTATGTGGGGCAGAAATAATAATATTAATATAGATGTGTGGTAAAATTAAAAAAAAAATATAATTAAGAACTAATATAAGTTAAAGGATAATCAATTTAGGTGATTTGAACATATTTGTATATGATCTACTATGGCACCAGTGGAAAACAGTTATAGAATATAGAGATCGGAGATAAACGTAAGAGTAGAATAATATTGAAATTAACTGTAAATGAAATAGTAAAGAAATATACGATAAGCTACGACTTAACTAGTTTCGTTGTACTTGATAAAGTTTAATGATGACATAGGATTTATGTAGTCGATCCAAAAATGATATGATACGATTTTATTGAATTGAGTTGAATTTAAAAAAAAAATACTATAATTTCAACTATAAATATTATACAATTAAAGCTTAAGTTTTGATATTGCAGAGTTAGGGACGAAATTATTGCTAATACTTTTATATTACTAAATAGATATTAAATAAAGAATAAAAAAAGAATATGTATTAATAGGGGTGTCAATCATGTCCTGTCATTTTTGGTCGTGTTATTTCGTATCGTATTACTTTCGGTACGTGTCGGATTCGTGTTAATAAAAAAATTATTTAATTTGACAACGACTAATATAATACTATTTAAAAAATTAAAAAATTATTATTTTCTATCTAAAATACTCATTAATAATAATTTTTTATTTACAGTACCTATTAATCGTGTTATTCGTGTCGAACCTTAATTTGACATATTTATTCCTCATGTCAATAAATTGTATTATTTTCACATTCGTGTCGAATTCGTGTTCGAGTCAAAAATTGACAGCCCTATGTATTATGGACAAAGTTGAAGAGATGGTAGAGTAAGCAATATCTAGAATTCAAAATCACCCCCAAATATTATTATTTATTTGGCATGGATGACTAAGTGCCAAAAAACTGGCTATAGCACAATTGGCACCTCTGAATTTCAAAATTTTATTTTTTTTTCTAGTTGAATGGATAAGATATTTGGGTCAGCTTAGACACATTTTAATTAATCTTCTCTCTAGTTTTATTACAGACACGTCATTCACGTCAAAATTAAAATATTATAAAATATAAATTACTCACAACAAAATCACAAAGGGAGTGGTTCTGTAAGGTACCGACCGAATTTTCACTATGTGGTTGAAAGTTTGAGTTTTAAAATTTATATTAGAGTTCGATAATTGATTATTATGTTTGCCTAAGTTAATTCTCGAGAAAAGTAATTGATATGTATTATCAAAAGTCTCATAATTTCACAAGTAAAAATTTATCGGCATAATTTCTCACGTTCTCATTTGTCTCTACTATTTTTTACGCACAAATAAATAAAAACTCTCCTAACATGGGTTCAAAGAATTGTCAATTTGTTTTCCCCCATTATTGGGGAATGCCCCCGAAAATTAGCCTAAATGAAATTCTGACGCCGTCATCCTCAACACGATCTCTCCTCCAAAATTCAAACGTCCCCAAGTAACGGCCATAACTTATAATCTCTCTCTCTCTCTCTCTCTTCTCTCTTTTTAAACCTCAAAAATCTACAGTTAATCGTAGGCTCGTAGCGACTCTCTCTCTCTCTCTCTCTCTCTCTCTCTGAAATCGTCGCCATTGTCATATTCGCTAGCATTGGAAGCTCTCAAAGGCCGGCCGTCAGATTCTCTGTAGGCTATACCTACCTATATATCTGCGTGAATTCAATGATTTATAAATTTTCTCTTCGATTGATTTGTTTTACGTCTTGTCTTTGGTTCGTCATTGATTTTTCGTTTTGCGATTGGCCATTGTGCATTTAACTCTGATTTTTTTTCATGTCCTTTGTTCTTTTCCTATCCACCTCGAAAATTTACTATGTCCCTGAATTCGCATTCTATATACGTTGCACATTGTTTGAACTGAGTTGGGGGTTTGTGGATGGTGTTCTGTTTTTAGATTTCGATTTGAGTTGACTCAGTGATGTGACATTGATTTGAACTGCTATTTTCTGGTGAAGATTAAGATTTGAAGAAGAAATTCTACGTAATGGAGTCCGTAAAGTCACAGAAACAGAGAAGAGGAGGACTAGATTCTGTCTCACCAGCGCAGACGCCGCGGTCGAGCGAGAAGGCCGTGAGAGATCTGCGACAGGGGGAGGGGAATTTGAGCGGCAAGCACGAGAAAGATAAAGGCGTGAATGTCCAGGTCGTTGTTCGGTGCAGGTGAATTGAGTTGTAAATCCAACATTGGTCGTTGCTTCTAAACAGTGAATTAATTGAGTCTAATCTCTGTGTCTGTATAACTCAGTCGCCATGGTTGGAATTTATAGGCCATTAAGCGAGGAAGAGAGCAGATTGCGTACACCAATGGTTGTTTCTTGTAATGAGAAGAAAAGAGAAGTTTGTGCTGTTCAGAATATAGCTAATAAGCAGATTGATAGAACCTTTCAATTCGACAAGGTTTGGTACCTTATATTCATTATTTTTTGTTTGGTTGCTGAGAAATAGTACGGCCTAAGTACGAGAAAGAGGAAGAGATAGAGAAAATATTGTGTGTTCTACAGTAGATATCAATAGTACACCACAATTTGAAGTAATTGATCCTTTTCCTGTGGTTTTACTAAGTTGTGGTAAAAAATTCTGAAGTAACATCAATGATTTTCCCTCAGGATTTCAGAGCAATTGAGGTTGCTATTTTCATCTCTCCCTGTGGCAGAAATATAATGTGGGATAATTCTTTGTAGGTCTTTGGTCCGACGTCCCAACAAAAGGATTTGTATGACCAGACAGTGTCTCCCACTGTATTTGAAGTTCTAGAGGGCTATAACTGCACTATTTTTGCATATGGGCAGACAGGAACAGGGAAAACCTACACAATGGAGGGAGGAGGAAGAAAAAAGGTTTGAGGTTTATTGCATGCATCATTGCACATTTTATAGTTCTGTGTTTTATGCCATATTTATCGGAATTCTTTCCATTAATTGATTTTTCACCTTGTGTAGAATGGGGAATTTCCGAGTGATGCAGGTGTTATCCCCAGAGCAGTTCGGCAAATTTTTGATGTATTAGAAGCTCAAAATGCTGAGTATAACATGAAAGTTACATTTCTAGAGCTCTACAATGAAGAAATAACAGATCTGTTGGCTGCAGAGGATTGCTCAAAATTCATAGATGACAAATCCAAGAAGCCAATGGCACTTATGGAGGATGGAAAGGGAGGTGTTTTTGTTAGAGGCTTGGAAGAGGAGATAGTATGCACTGCCAATGAAATTTATAAAATATTGGAGAAAGGTTCTGCTAAAAGGCGTACTGCTGAGACCTTTCTAAACAAACAAAGCAGCCGCTCCCACTCGATATTTACCATCACAATTCACATTAAGGAGTGTACTCCAGAGGGGGAGGAAATGATTAAGTGCGGGAAGCTCAATCTTGTTGATCTAGCTGGTTCAGAGAATATTTCGCGCTCTGGTGCAAGAGAGGTAAGAAGTGATAAATAATGATAAGTCTGGTAAAATACTGATGCATTAGTTCTAGCAAGTACAAATGTATGACATGACAGCACGCTTGCTAATATGCAAAAGAAGTAATAAGCACATTCGTGGAGTGAGATTTCTAGTGATGTACCATGATAAATAGTAAAGATGCCAATGAGGATCATCTTCAACATGCTGCTTCCTGATTCTTTTAATCCTCAGAAGGTATAAAGTGGCATTAGACAAGTTAAGAGTGATTAAAGAGATCTATTTTGCAGGGCAGGGCACGAGAAGCTGGAGAGATCAATAAAAGCTTGCTGACACTTGGTCGTATCATAAATGCACTAGTTGAGCACTCTGGTCATGTACCATATAGGTATGATTCTAACTAGTTTTATAAATGTGGTTGTAAGTTGGGACATTTGTTGAAACACGAAAAGTTCAACAATTTGCTTAAACAGTGTTACTTTGTTTGTCAGAGATAGTAAATTAACAAGGTTGCTGAGGGATTCCTTGGGAGGGAAAACAAAAACATGCATTATCGCTACAATATCACCCTCCATTCACTGTTTGGAAGAGACGCTCAGCACCTTAGATTATGCATACCGCGCCAAAAATATTAAGAACAAACCAGAGGTCAGTTTTTGAGTTCTTGTTAAAGAAATGAAAAAAATTGTTTCTTGTCCACCTTGTTCCTTCAGGTTTTCTCTTCCTCTTCTTATCTTTGAAGATTAGGCATCTTCCTTAGAATCTGACAAAATAGCTCCACTTGATTGCTGTTCCAGATTAATCAGAAGATGATGAAATCTGAAATGATGAAGGATTTGTATTTGGAACTCGACCGGCTTAAGCAAGGTTGTCATTTGTTTCTAGCTTGGACACACTCTCTCTCCCCCTCCCTCTCACAAATGTTTATGGCTTTTTTATTCAAGTCAGTACCTCAATTCCATAATGTTATCACTTGGGTATGCATACTTCATTTATGATGGTTTTTATACTTTTTATCCATCTCCAACCAGAGGTGTATGCTGCAAGAGAGAAGAATGGAATCTACATACCAAGGGATCGTTATCTTCAGGATGAAGCGGAGAAGAAGGTATAGTGTACACATTTAGTTTGATGATAGACAACTAACCTACCTTTAAGTTTCTTAGTGATATAGAGTTTTTGTTAATTCTCTATCCGTCGCATTTTCAGGCAATGACTGAAAAAATAGAGCGCATGGAGCTTGATTTTGAATCCAGGGACAAGGTATATTTGAGATTCAAAATTGCTCAGATAAAAATTTTGCTGATTTCAATTGAGAAGTTTGATTGATTATCTCATTGTGCCTTGTAAGCAGCAACTAATGGAGCTTCAGGAACTTTACAACTCTCAGCAGCTATTAACTGCAGAATTAAGTGAAAAACTTGAAAACACTGAGGTATTATGATGTAGAATGTCCTGTTGTTGATATTTTTAACTTTAAGTTGATCTATTCACTTCATCTTTTGCTTCTTTGATCATGCAATAGTAATCCTTCTACTATTGTTTTTCAGAAAAAGCTCCACGAAACAGAACATGCCTTGGTTGATCTTGAAGAAAGATACAGACAGGCAAATGCAACCATCAAAGAAAAGGAATATCTGATATCCAATCTTCTCGAGTCTGGTGAGCTAAGTGTTATCTTTGTGTACTCTAAGCAAATTCTTTTCGCCGGTGTGTAATACATCATGACTTTGTATATTATGCATAGTGCAACTCAAGGTTATTCATAGGTTGCCATCTATGATTTTCATGGAGTAATCGCCAAAAAAATATCATGTATTAATACGTACCAAGGAGTTGCTAGCATCGTAAGTAATTGTATCCACAAGCTGTTTGCTTGATGAATTTTATTGAGAATTTCCAAGTTGGGTCATACATTAGTTTACCAGAGTTTCAGAATTGTTAGAAATTCATCTTATCGAAAAAATAATTGTTAGAAATTATACTATCGAGGCATTCATCATAGGTGTTTCTTGCATATTGATCAAATACCTCTGGTACTTTAACACTATCTTTTTTACAACAAATGAAAGCTGCATTTAATGAGATAATCATTCAAGATCACTCCAATCTTTTTGCTACTTAAGGAGTATAGTATGCAATTGAACATAAGTGATGTTCGATGGATTAATTTGTTATGGAATTTCCACCTTGTACAGAGTTTCTTTGTCTTGTTTAATATTAGTTGACACTTGTGTTCTTGAATTTGAGTAAATTTTGTATCTTGCTCGTATTTCCTTTCTAACGTTGGCATCTGATGTTCTTCCATTAGAGAAAGCACTTGTTGAGCAGGCATTTGAGCTTCGAGCAGAGCTAGAGAATGCTTCATCAGATGTGGCTAGCTTGTTCACCAAGATTGGTGCGTATGCTAATTTTCAAATTTGATTCCCTGCACTAGAAATTATCTGCTCAAAAAGTAAATAATGTGTTGTCAATTGGTTGATTGTCCCAGAGCGCAAAGACAAAATAGAAGATGACAACAGAACTCTTATCCAGAACTTTCAGTCACAGTTAACTGAACGGCTTGAAGTCTTGCATAAAACTGTGGCAACATCTGTTACTCAACAAGAGCAGCAACTGAAAGACGTGGAGGAAGATATGCAATCCTTCGTATCCACGAAGGCAGAGGTATAATTTAGTAATAAGAAGGCATTGTGTATGCATATATTGTCAGGTAATACAACTGATCATTTGGTAGGCAACTGAAGAACTTCGAGGCCACCTAGCTAAGTTGAAAAATATGTATGGTTCTGGTATCAAAGCTTTGGATGATTTAGCTGTGGAGCTTGATGCAAATTCTAAGTCAACTTTTGGGCATCTGAATTCTGAAGTTTCTAAGCATTCATCTGCTCTTGGGGATGTATGTACCTCTTGATGTTGCGCTGCGAAACCTCCCATTTTTTTTTTGGCTCTGTTTTGACCTTTGTTTATATAATTCAGCTTTTTAGAGGAATTGCTTTGGAGGCTGATACATTACTTAACAATCTTCAAAATAGCCTGTACAGTCAGGAAGAGAAACTAACTGCATATGCACAACAACAACGCGATGTAAGCTTTTTTCAGTTAATTATATTGGATAATGTTTGTGTTGCTAGCACATTCTTTTTTGGCCAAATGTAGATGCATTTGTTTACTTTGGCATATACAGGCACATTCCAGAGCAGTGGCAACCATGCGCTCAATTTCTCAGATAACCGTGAAGTTCTTTGATGGTTTAGACATGCATGCGTCTAAACTGAGCGGAATTGTGGAAGAAGCACAAACATATAATGACCATAAATTATCTGAGCTTGAAAAGAAGTTTGAGGTGATAAAAGTTCCTGTCTCAAACTTTCTTTTGCTCGAAATAGTATAAACGCCTAACCTTCCTTGTTTTGACCTCTCTCTCTCTCTCTCTCTCTCTCTGTAGGAGTGTGCTGCACATGAAGAAAGGCAGCTCATAGAGAAAGTGGCAGAGCTGCTTGCAAGTTCAAATGCTCGGAAGAAAAAACTGGTATTGGCCCAAACGCTAATTCAAGAAGCAGCTATTAATACTCTTATCCGGTATATTGTTGCAGTTGATCTCCATCTGTTACTTCTCATAATATATACCTACTCACTAGCAAACTCAAATAAACTCAATTGTTTTTCAGCATAGAAGTGATGGTGCTGGACTGTTGTCTGCTGGAGAAAGAGATCTAGTTTTCTCACTTAGGGGCATCCACATGAAAATATTTTATAATATCATTAATTTTTCTGTTCTTTTCAATTTCGTTCTTGGAGAAATACCCTAGTTTCTTGTTTCATTGTAGTAAATTAAAGTGGTTGCTGTTGTTAGCCTGTTAGTGGTTATTCTCATGAAACTCTGAAGGTTTTCTGGAAGTATGGCACAAAATGCCTATTTCCAGACATAGTCCAATGAAGTTTTTGCCTTATACAGAATAACAGATGTCACAGTTGGTTGTAGCAATAAGAAGCTCAAAAGTGGACAGTCACATTTCATATAGAACTTAGATTAAAAGCAGGTCTGTTTCTGAAATTGTCTAGATTATTAAATTCTTTATCTAAATAAGTGGAGAAAGTTGCAAAAGAACTATTGTAAACCTTCCGAAACGTCTGATTTTGCTACTTCAGAAGCATAGCTGCAAGGAAGAAAAAGGGTTTCTTTGTGAACAATAGCAAAGTCGCAATTTTTGTTGTTCTAGAACAATTGGAAAAAACATGTCAATTCAGATGACTTATTAGATCGTTCTTGGTCTTTGTTCTCTGTTTAGAACTTTCTCTTAATCATTTTTTGAAGGAAGGGATTTTATAGATCACTTCTCACAAGACTAACATAAAATGATGAGTGGGCCTTTGTGTAGCCAACAGCATTTGCACATTGTTCAGGTTGGACTCATGCGATCATTATTTTTGATCCCCATGTGCATCGATTCAATTTATCGTTGGATTTCATAGTACTTCATCATGGATGATAATTTTTGCAATGAGTGTTGATTCTCAGCTTATATGCATATGTATTTTGCACTTTAGGTTCAAACAGCGGTAAATGGCCTGCGGGAGAGTGCAGCCACCAGAACAAGCAGATTGCAGCAAGAGATGTCCACAATGCAAGATTCGACTTCTTCTGTTAAATCCGAATGGACGAATTACATGAAAAAAGCTGAAACACAGTATCTTGAGGATACTACTGCCGTGGAGAATGGAAAGAAGAACCTTGGAGAGGTTCTTCAAAATTGGTATGGGCCACTTGTCTTGATGATAAACTTTTATTGACATATTCGATTCTTATGATTGCTTCTCAACAAACCTTGTTAGCTGATGTGTTGTTTTCATTCTTTACTGGTTTATTTTCCGTACTCACCCTTGACTACAAATACAGTTTGCAAAAGGCAAAAATGGGTGCACAGCAGTGGACTAATGCTCAAGAATCGTTGCTCAACCTAGAGAAGAGCAATGTTGCTTTTGTGGATGAGATAGTAAGGTTAGTGACTGCCCAGAAAAAAAAATTTATTGTTGGCAGCATGCTACATATTCTCTAATACAGTTTGCTATGTATGTATGAATGATTTTCTATTCTAACAGGGGAGGAATGGATGCCAATCAGATCTTGCGTGCTCAGTTTTCTTCTGCTGTATCATCTTCAATTAAAGATGCAGATGTTGCAAGCAAGAATGTCCTTTCCTCCATTGATCGTAAGTTTTAGTTTTGCAGGCACTGAAATTTATTTGGCACTGGTCAGGCATTTTGTTTTACAAGAGCAAATTTTTGTTTTCCGGTTAGTGCAAGTGTGAAATTCATCTAATTGGAACAAACATGTGCAGATTCATTACAACTTGACCATGATGCATGTGAAAATCTTGAATCCATTATCCTTCCATGTTGTGGAGAGTTGAGGGAACTGAAGAGTGGACACCACCACAAGATTGTGGAGATCACAGAAGATGCAGGAAAATGCCTGCTAGATGAATATATGGTATGAACTTTGAAATGCCCCATTGATGATGCATAACCATAATGAACACTACTTTTACATTTGCTTGTTACATACGTAGCATATGTTTTTTAATAAGAAGGTAGATACAATTAAAAACATTTCCCTGGAATATTCTTGTTTAGTGTCCTCAAGACACAGAAAGCTGCCAAGTCTTTCCTGTTAATTGATCCTGAAGTTGTTCATGTTCTCATTTCCGTCGTGTCCTCATTTCTCTCTGAGCTAAACAGCAATTGAACTTGACAGCGTGCTTTTCTTGAATTTTGTTCTTTCGACGTAAGAAAGTTCATCTCAATCTTTTTATCATGGACAGGTGGATCAACCATCATGCACTACACCAAGAAAGAGGACATTTAATCTACCAAGCATTGCATCCATTGAAGAACTCAGAACCCCTGCTTTTGAGGATTTGTTAAGGTCCTTCTGGGATGCAAAATCTTCAAAACAAGCAAATGGAGATGCTAAACACATAGGAGCTTATGAAGCCGCCCATTCTGTTAGAGACTCCAGACTTCCCCTAACTGCTATTAATTGACAAAAAGGGAGTAGAATAAAACTGATAAAGAGTCTCAGCTGTAAAAATTGTACAGTATACATATCTCGAGTATGCACTTGCCTTATTTGTTCATTGTTTGTTCATATAGTGGGTTGTTTTCTTTTTCCTTATTCGGCGGAGGAAATTTCAGTTCGTTGAAATTCTTTCGATATGATATGACATATTCAATGAGAGTATACAGAGAGGGGCTTGTATTAAAAGGTTCTACTTGATAATTTCTAGTTGAAGTCTTTTGAGCAGGTTGGTGAAGTTTGTACACAAGGAACTAGGGTGGGTGTTAATTTTGGACTCTAACACGAATCCGACACGAATCTGAAAATAACATGATTAATTGACACGAGTAATAAATTGGTCAAATTAAAGTTTAACACGAATAACACGATCAATAGATATATTAGATAAAAAATAATTATATAAAGAGTATTATAAATAAAAAATAAGAATTTTATAATTTTTTAAATAGTATTACATTAGTTGTTGTCAAATTAATTAATTTTTTATTAATACTGACATGAATCTAACATGTATCGAAAGTGATACGACACAAAAATAATACGATTAAAAATCACATAACACAAAATTGATACGACACAACACACGCTAGGTGGAATGGCAAATCACACTCTTAAAGTACTGATGCAGTTCCCCTTTGGTCCCTGGAGTTTTTGCGTTTTAACGAGATACTTTCGTCACAAACACTAAACGCACTAGATCTGAAGGAAGAGAAGACGCACTGCTCGAAGTTGCACCAGATTCGTTGCATTGAGAGATTAAAGAGGGAAAAAGGAAGGATAAGAGTTCATCAGATCTGTTTTATTCTTTTTTTTTTTTCAGATCTTTTGTATTCTTTTCAAAAAAAATTAAAAAAAGGTCTCTTGTATGCATGTCTACTGTTCTTGTGGGAGGAAAGTGGTAATGCAAACATCATGGATTGACCAAAACTCGGACGACGCTTTCTTAGCAGCGAGAGATTTGGGGTAAGTTCATATCTCTCTCTCTCTCCCCTCTTACCCAAAAAATTAGCACCAACCACCACCACCCACCCACCTACCTAACAACACCATCACCCCACCTCACAACACCATCAATCCCCATCTATCTCATAAGACCACCACCCATCTCTCTCTCTATATATGTATATATATTGATGACATATATCAACGTGAATGAGATTAAGGTGAAAGTAATGTGAGATGAGCGTGGATCAGAACTACGAGGTTCGTGTATGATTCTACCATAAAATAATCAGGGGATTAAAGGGATACACACAGTAAAAATATAGTGGTTCACCGGCTTAGGAATTCGGCTAGTCCACTATTTAATGGAGGTTCTTGCTCCTTTTGTTTTATTCATGATGATTACAAAGTTACTATGACTTTCTATTATCACTAGGGTTCTCCCCCTGTTAGGAGGTGTTACAATGTATTTATAGGGCCATTCCCTGTTAAGTGGGATTCTGGCCGAGATTCTTGTCCTTACTTCGTGGAGTTCTCCCTAATTCTAGGAGAAGATCTTGGTTGGTTGAGATTACGGGCTGTGCTTATAGCTTCCTAACATTTTAGGAACCTCTCGTGATTATCCAGCTGTTGCCTTGGTTGTTATTGTCCTTGCTTATCTCGAAGGGACCTCCAGTTCTACTCTTCTGAATTTTGCTTGCCTAGTCTGACCTCCTGAGCTAGCACTTGAGATTTATTTTGAGGTATCATTAGTTGCCCCCCAGCCCTTGGCCCAGGCGAGCTTGGGCATGGGCTGAACTGCTTTTACCTTAGATCAGATCTGCGCCTAGCTGACCATATTCTGCATGTGAGATGCATGTGAGAGGGGCTTTTTGACGGTTACAGCAATCATGGCTCCCTTGGTTCCCGCGCACGCCTCATCTCATGTCTTTCAAGCCTTAAATGCTCAAACAGCTAATAGAAAATCACACAAAACCACCGTTCATCTTTTACACTGTTCATCTTCGTCTCCGGCCCTTTCTCTCTGTAATTTTTGGGCTTTCCTCCATGCGATTCTCTTATTTTCTGCTCAAGACTGTGTTTTTTGGGTTCGGCTCAAAGTCCTGCTTTGCTCATCTCCTCCAATTTTATTCTTTGGCTGCTGTTTGCTGCTCTATTCCCGGTCTAGGTACGCCTCTTTCTGCCCCTTTCTTTTTCTCTTGCCTTTCCTCGCTCTGGATCCCTCGATTTCGAAGTGACCATTATTTTTCTGGGTTTTTTGGTTCTTTTTATTTTGGAATCGCGATCGTTGCCTATCTCCTTTTCCCCACTTTGTGGATTAGAATTTCACTGTGTGAATTCTTATTATTGGGAGGTACAGCGCTGACCCTACGATTATCAGGGGGTGTTTAGTTAGTATTCATTTTTTTTATAATTCTTTCGACTTATCTTTCTCTTTGCCAATCATGTCTGCTTCCTCTAGAGCAACTCCCTCCTCTGTTTTCCTCCTATGCGACAGGTCTGCCAAGAGAGATTTTGATTTAGGGGACGTGGGTGATGAGATTGACAACTTCTCTGGTGTGGAGGCTGTCGATATCGAGGTGGACTCCATGGAACTCCCATCATCTTCCCCTCATGTACCTTCTAATGCTGACAAGGGTAAGAGTAAGGTGAGTGAGGTAGGAATTTCTGACAGTGTAGTGGGTATAAGGGCTGTCCTGAGGCATGCCGAACTCGTGGGACCCAGTGCGGTGGATCCTTCTTTTATGGAAGCTCTTAGTGCTCGCTTTCGCTTTCCCCTTGGTGTCCAACCCTGGTGTTCGAATAAACTCACCCCATACGTTGCCCAAGTGCACAAAAGAGTTTGTTTCTTTGTGGCCGCTTTCGAGAATGACCTTCGTTTTCCTATGCACCCCTTCATAAAAAATGTTCTGCAGCACTTCAATGTCTGCCCTGCTCAGCTTTCTCCCAACTTCTGGGGTTTTTTAGTAGGTCTTTTAGTTTTCTTTAAGAAGCACGAGCTTAGGACTCCCACCATTTCTCTGCTTATGGACCTCTTTAATGTCAAGCTTACCTCAACTGAGGGTTTTCTATATATTTCTAAGTGGGTCTCGTTTAGGCAGATCATCACATACCTTCCAAGTTCTCATAAAAGCTGAAAAAAAAATTTCTTTTTCGTTGGGGGTGTCAATTGGGAATACAACTCTGTTCATAAAACAGACACTCTTGGGATTCCCAAAGCCTAGACAGTCCCAGATAACTTAGGTGAGTTCCTGCTTGATTGAACTGCGGTATGAAGATTTATGAGTTACTTTCCTGACCTCTGCATCTTTGGTGTTGCCTTTTTTTATTTATTTATTTTTAGGCATTCGACCTGAACTTAGCGCCGAGGACGAACGGGTGAAGCTGAAATTGGCTAAGTGTAATCCAGAGAGGTACTCTGAGTTCATTAAGCCCTGGGAATTAGGAAGGCAAGGCATCGGTCTTTCTGAGACAGTGATAGAAGCTCCAACCCCACTTTCCTTTATCCGACCTGAGGACATAGAAGGTAATGCTCTTTCCCTTATTTGGTTTCATTGCTTTGCTCCCTTTCTTTTTCCTTTTGACTAACCAGCTCAAATCAAATCTCCCAGGATCTTCTACAATGAAGCCTACCCCTGAAATGCTCCAAGCTAAGGTGGAGCTATTGAAAAAGAAAAATAAGGGTGGTACCAAGTGCAAGGCTGAGGGCAGTTCTGGTGGGAACCCATTTACTCGAGCTAAGGTTCAGAAAATGGGTACTTCCTCTACATCTGCCTCTATCCAGAAGGCCCCACCATCCGCACTGCCTGTCTCATTGACCTCAGGACTTCCTTTCCCACAAGGGACCCGACCTGCCACTAAAGATGCTCTTGGGCACGACCAGACCCCCCCTTCTGCATCTGAAGTTGAGAGGGTCTTGGATACTGCTCGCACTTCCTTGGTCGTGCTGCTTCTGCATCAACCAAGGAAACCTCCCAATCTCTTATGACAGGCAAAGGGGTCTTCTCGAAGTCTGAGAATTCTCTTATTACCTATGTGAAGCGTGCTGCAGAGGCCATTGCCTCCATTATCTCAGAGTCTGACATTGATACAACCACTTCTGTACCCCCTGGGAACCTGTGTTTCCACTGCGCTGTATGACTGTACTTCGGTGAGATTCTAATTTGTCAAATTCTCATCATTTTTTTTTGATGTCTTGCGCTCTTCCCTTTGCACTAATCTTTCATGCTTGTCTTCAGACTGTCATTCAAATAAGCAGCTTGTTAAAGTGAATCCAAGCCCTGGAGGGATCGGTCAATGCTTCCAAAGCTTTTGAGCTAAAGTGTGTCAATCTGACTTTTGAGAATAATGCCCTTAAGGTTCAGGTAAAGGAATTGCAAGAACAAGTGGAACAACAGTCTTCCCTTGCCAAATCTAGACAAGAGGAGCTCAACAAGACTAAGGAAGAGCTCCGGTCAAAAATTGATGATTGGATCAAGGAGAGCCGGAAGTCCCTTGATGCTCTAGCTTCCTTCAGGAACGTGAAGAGGGAGTACGAGGTGCTAGCTGAGGCCAATAATGCTGTCAGGGAGGAGTTAGTGGCTGTCAAGGTGGCGCTGGAGGTTTGAGACACTACCATCTGAAAAAAGGATGAACTGATTGCCCAGCTAGAGGATGACGTTCACACCAGGTGGGCAAAAGGGTAGATTGCTTTCCAGGGTATAGCTGAAAGGACTTACCCTGAACTGAATTTTGACTTTTCAATTCCCCTGAGGAAGAGGCCGAGGGGCCTGATGAAGAAGAGGATGATGCTCCTATTCCTCATGTTTTGAAGATATGCCCAAAGACTTTGAAGGGCTTATTCCTCTAGTTGGGACTTCAGCTTAAGATGCTTCTGCCTCCTTAGACACCTCTACTCCCATGGCTGCTGAGCTTTCTACAACTTCTTCCATCCTTTCTGAGTTGGTCATTGGAGCTTCGTCCAAAGCTGAGGTCCCTGCCTCCTTGCCTGCTCTTGGCCCTCTTGAGACTTCAACTGCTTCATTGCCAATAAGGTCGCCTGTTGAGCTAGGGAACCTTTCTTCAGTTCCTTCTACTGAGACTTCAGCTACTGCACTGTTAGGCCCTTCGCCTACTCTTCCTTCGGAAACTAAGACGTTGAGATGTAGAGAAATTTTTATTTGTAGCTTTGGACTAATTATCTCAGAATTGTAACATTTTGTGTTTAATTTACAGCTT